AATTAAGATAATATTATCATTATGGTTTCAAAATCTGAAGAGATAGATAATAGTATTTAGACCTGCTGCTGCAGCAGTCCCCCCTAGCTCTGCATATGTAGATAAGCATTGCAGGAATCAAGTCTTTTTAGGAAGACTATTGCTTGTATGAAGTTAAAATCATTTCCATATAAAATAACAGTTTCAAGTTGATCCATGGAGACTTGGAGTCTTCAAATTCCATCTGCCACTTCGTTAAGTTCCTTTCTGCCGCAGAAATGCAGTTTGGCTGCATTCGGGTGGATCAACACTGCCATCATGTGGTCAATTGGATTAAATGCAGGTGACTGGTACCCAACGGGATTTAACAATGGATATACACTACTACTTTCCTGGTGAAGGTCTTTGCTTAATCCATGGAGACTTGGAGTCTTCAAATTCCATCTGCCACTTCGTTAAGTTCCTTTCTGCCGCAGAAATGCAGTTTGGCTGCATTCGGGTGGATCAACACTGCCATCATGTGGTCAATTGGATTAAATGCAGGTGACTGGTACCCAACGGGATTTAACAATGGATATACACTACTACTTTCCTGGTGAAGGTCTTTGCTTAATTTATTTGCTTTCCCTCTACCATGTGCAGAATGACTGGCTGGGTCTCTCATTTTCTATATGAAATTTTCCATCAAGGTTCACAAAATTCTGGATAAAAATTTCACCACATTTTGTTTAGACTTACACACCACAGACAATGGAACACTCATGGTGATAAGCACTATACATGATAGCAAGTATGTGGCAGACTGGGTCCTTATACACAAATATTTTGATCATATTCCTTTCATGATTTAGTGTCATCAGAATAAGTATAAAAAATGCTAACATTTAATTAAGACCAAACCATCTAAATAAATATAGTTACTGCTTTTCTCTATATGCTCTGCTTTTTATATATACATTGACGGATTAATTTGGAAATTTGAACCAGATGTAACATTCTTTGCATGCCTCCTTATTCCTTCTGTTATCAGTGGATGTCCTAGATGTACAAGGAATGAAGGATCACACCAGAAATATTCATACACTGCATATATGCTTATGACCTGATCCCAGATTCTCAGCTAGTGTAGTTTTATTGACTCAATTTTTGGCAGATAAGGATTTGGTCCATGGGATGTTCTGAACTGAACCTGGTGTGTTTACTGCAGCTGACTAAATTAAAATAGTTAAAATAAAAAGCATGAAGAGCTGGAATGGACTAACTCTCTCTCTTGCCCTGGAATGAGACAATTTTTTTTTTTTGCTCGTTTAGGTGCATCTACACAGCAGAGCTTAACTTGAAATAAGCAACACAAACTGAGCTACATGAATTGCGTAGCTTATTTCAAAATAGCTTATTTCAAAATTGGGAGCATCTACACAGCACTTATTTTGAAATGAAACACTCTTCCTCCAGCTTCCCTTATTCCTCGTACACTGAGGATTACAGGAGTCAGAGTAAGAAGTCCTCCAGTTTGACAGTATTTCAACATTATTTAGAAATAACTTTCTGCTGTGTAGATGTGGTCTAAGTTATTTCAAAATAACGCTAGCAGCTAAGCTGATTAATCATGTCACATCATAGTGTCATCACCCATAGTTACACTGGGCATTGGAAGCCCTGATTCACCATGTAGTTATACAAATTTTACACGAGCATCACGTCAGTGACTTCAGTGGAATTACTCCGGATTTACATATCAGGGTCCGAGGAGAATCAGATCCAAACCACTTCTTTATAGACTGCATTTTTTTCCACGAAAAGCCATGAAAGCAATATACTGTGATAAAAGATCCTTCTATGTGTAAGGGCAGAAGGAAACCTGGCAGACATTAGGAGTAACATTCTCTTGGGGAACCAGAGCTGTAAACAGTCAAATCAATAAGGCAGAGTATGGGAATTCTTTAAAGTGGGTTGCTTTATCTAAAGAAATACAGGATATAAATGTGATAAAAGTGAGAAAACAGGCTGAAACCAGAGGACTTCTTTGATGTCCCAGAGTCAGTTATCAGTGGGAGGCAGATACATAAACACATGGCCATTATTGCTAATTGCAAAATCAGGCTGAATAGCTTGTCTTTGCTGGAATGCTGTCTGTTGAATTTCTGAAGCTGTTGCATATGTTCCGTTTAGCTGGGAGTTTGTAAATTTTCATATTGCCACTGCACCGCTCAAGTCCTTCACAATGTATGAAACACATTTTAGTCTTCAACCCAGCTTTATATGTTGTTCCACATGTGGCTAGAGGCAGGAAGGACCGACTCATCTTTCATAAATAAATATTTCTTGCCATTCTCTGATCATGCTGTTCTGAAGTGTAGTTGACAGCTGGAAGAATCTGCATGTGTTCCCTTCTCAACAACAGCTGTTGGGTCCTTATGGTGGTTGTAGAGGGTGTCCAGCACTTTGGAAGAACTGGTTGCTAGTGTAACCCACACACCTACTGGGTGTGGTTCACAGTCCCATGGAGTGGCATTTAGACCACTTACAGGGAGAGATAAGATTGAGTGAGCTCTACAGCCTTAGCTGAGAGTGAACTGGCTTTTGTAAAAACTCAAGCTGTAGAGGCTCATGCACTAAGCTCTAGAGGTCCCAGGTTCGGGCGGTTACACTAGCATGGCTTGCTGTCAACATTCAATTAACATTGCAGAGCTCTGTGTCCACTTTGGTAGCTCAATTTGTATTGTCCTTGTTCAATATATACTGATGTTGTGGTCTCTATTGAAATCAATAGCAAAACTGAATAGGGATGACCGGTTTTTCTTTGGAAATATGAACAGTTTGATTGCCAGAAGCTGAAATTAAAGTACATGGCATGTTATTTATTGCAATTATTCTTTGGACACTGCCTGCTGTCTTATGGCAATGTGCTCTGTATCTCTTAGACAGAAGACCAGAAAACTCCACATAGTCCATTACTCTTTACGCTGCTTGGGAAAAGAGGTTCTGGAGAAACACAACTATAGTCTTGTGCTCCCTCTTGTGTTTTACTAGAGAGCTTCAACATATGTTTTCAACAGAAGCTCTCTCAATCAAGGGGATTCTTATTAAATGAAACAAATGCACTTATTGAACAATCTGAAAAAAGAGATACAGCGATAAAATAGATCTTTTGCAGATGATGGCACATTTTTATTAGAGAAAGTGATTTTAGATTATACTGCAATCCAAAGGCCAGATCTCGCCATCATTTACACTGATATAATTCCATTGCAGTCTCACTTACTTCCATAGAGTTACTCCATGCATAGAGCGATGGAACTATGGGCCTAATTCTGCAAGGTGCTGTAGGGATTTTAGGCAGAAAGTGCTTAGCATGATTGGACCACAAGTGCAGAATTTGACCTAAAGTGCCCGTATTCTTTCCTGTAGAATAGTGATAGAAATGTAGCCATGTTAGTCTGGTGTAGCTGGAACAAAAAGGATACCACTGCCAATCTGATAGCAGACCTACGTAACTTTGTTCTCACCCACAATTATTTCCAATTTGAGAACAATTTATACCTCCAGATCAGCGGCACAGCCATGGGTACACGCATGGCCCCACAGTATGCTAACATCTTTATGGCTGACCTAGAACAACGTTTCCTCAACTCCCGTCCCCTTTCACCCCTCCTCTACCTACGGTACATCCAGACTCATGGCCAAGAAACACTGGAGACATTCCACAGAGATTTTAACAACCTACACCCCACCATCAATCTCAGCCTGGACCATTCTACACAAGAGATCCATTTCTTGGACACCACAGTACAAATCAGCAATGGAAAATTAGACACCACTCTCTACAGAAAACCCACTGACTCATACAGTTACTTACATGCTTCCAGCTCCCATCCAGAACACACCATACGATCCATCATCTATAGCCAAGCCCTGCAATACAACTGCATCTGCTCTAATCCCACTGACAGAGACCAGAAACTCAACTACCCACGCAGAGAAATAAAAAAGCAAATTGAAAGAGCCAGACGAATACCTAGAAACCAACTACTTCAATAAACTACAGCCTATACTGGAACAGGGTACTAAACTCTGAGAGGCTGTGGGAGACAGATCCATAGTCTACTATAGACAACCACCTAACCTCAAGATGATTGTTACCAACAACCACAGGACACACCACAGTAATACCAACCCTGGTACCTTCCCTTGCAACAAACCCCGTTGCCAGCTTTGTCCACATATTCACTCTGCTGATACCATTATTGGACCTAACCAAGTGAACTATAAGATCAAGAACACATATTCCTGCGCATCCAGAAATATAATTTATGCTATCATGTGCCGAAAGTGTCCGTCTGCTATGTACATTGGACAAACGTCTCAGACACTTCGCCAAAGGATCAATGCCCACAAAACAGATATTAGACAGGATCACAAAGAAAAAACAGTTTCTTGCCATTTCAACCAGAAAGGACATTGTCTCAATGACTTGATTACCTGCATCCTGCTTCAAAGGCCTTTTAAGAATACACTTGAAAGAGAATCCTCTGAACTTTCATTCATGCTCAAATTCAACACTTTACACTTAGGTTTGAACAAAGACTCTAATTATCTTACCCATTACAAAAAGATAGCTTCCCCAATTATCACCTCTAATATCATTAGCTCACAGACATTTACCTCCCCTCCATCCCCGTTCTGTTCTGAAATTTGATTTGTCCTTTTCATATGTGTTCATTTTTTTTAATTGTATCCTTTGGTATATATGGTTGTGACAATTTTCTTCCACTATTTGATCTGAGGAAGTGGGTCTGGCTCAGGAAAGCTCATCACCTAATAAACCATCTTGTTAGTCTTTAAAGTGCTACATAGTCCTGTTTTTTGTTCCGTATTCTTTCCCTGAGAGAGCTCTGTGTGTTGTATGCTGTCTGTACTCCTAAATTGTTGGTAGAATCAGAATCACCACACAAAGCTCATTTCTTTTATCAATATGTTCACTAAGTACTTTTTCCTGATTTTCTGCTTTTTTGTTTCAGGTGTCTGCAGTGATGGGTACTTCCCCAAGGACATTCCTGTTCCTGGGATGTCTCCTGGCAGGTAACATTCCTGTGTGTCTTCATTCATTCTCTTTTGTAGATCTGGGCGTCAATCAGCACTCTGCAGTAGATGTCCAAGATAGGGTTGTTTTCAGTGTGATCAGTGATAATGAATGTCACAACATGGCTTACAGCCAAGCTGCTGTAAATTCTTTTTTTTTCTAACATTAGTTGTAATAAAAACAGTGAGGAACACAGTCCCAAAACTCAGATTAAATATATATGGACAGTTCATTCTTTTTTTTAAAACTGATTAAAGATCACCGACTGCAGGAGTGGGTATGAGATGAGGAAGTTCCTGGATGGAGGGGAATGGAAGTCACTGTACAGCTGTAGTAACCCATGAACCTGTTTCTCTCTCTCTCTCTCTCTCTCTCTCTCTCTCTCTCTGGGGAAGAGGTTTGGCTCGTGGGTCTGTGTCACTGCTGATGCACAGCCATGCCATGTCACTCCCACCATATTACTTCAGCAACTGGTGGGAGCAGAGCTCAAGGATGTGCAGCAGAGTGCAGGCTGCCTCTTTCCTCTGCACCACTGGCTGCTGTGGTGAGCAGACCTTCTAGATCCAGAGAAGGAAGTGTGGGGCAGGACAAGCTTTGTTCCAAAGTGCCACATATACAAAAGGCCAGAATTCCTAGCTAGGAGAGGTAAAATACTCACAATGGCTTGAGAAACAGAACAGTGACCACGATGGGCCCAGTCCTTGCCTCCACTCAACCTGCTTTGTGATGGTCCCCTGGCAGACAAACCGTTTATCTATCCCCTGATGATTTCTTGGGGGACACGGAGCTGAGTGTGGCTGAACCATTCATTGTTCTCATGATGGGGTCTGAACCAGCACAAGTACAATTGGCCCAAACCAGAGACTCTGGCTCTGTAAATCCAGTTTGAACATTAAAAGTACTACAGTTACTATACCCTGTTCAATAAGTTAGTTATATTTGCTGTCTGGTCTGCCATATACTTCAACTAGAGATGGGCCTGAGCATCTTAGGCTATGTCTACACTGCAATACCGCCTACCCCCAAACTCACAGCCGTGAGTCTCAGCGTTTGGGTCTACAGACTGGGGCCTGCAGTTGACAGAATGGCACTAAATATAGCCAAGTAGACATTCTGGCTTGAGCTGGAGCTTGAGGTCTGAGTTGGGCTTCCAAACCCAAGCTAGAATGTCTACATGGTGATTTTTAACATCATAGTATTTCCCAAATTTGTAGAGCCAAGCTCTGAGACTCACTGCCGCAAGGTTTTGTTTTGGTTGTTTTGTTTGGTTGTCTGTTTTGCAGTGGAAACACACCCAACGTTTGGATCCAGGCTGCTGCCCATTGTAGAAAGAGAGGTCAGCTGTAATGCTCAGATACAGGCATTAATGTAGCACAAAATGCTCCCACAGTCTGGGGCTGTTTGGATCTGAGGATTTAAGAGCTGCCTCTAATTTCAATTCTTTGTCTTCCATTTCTCAGTGCCAGACAGACTGATCTGAATTGAACAGCATTTTGTCTGAGAGTTCCAAAGAGAAATTATTTTTCCCTCCATGGAGAAATGGCTTTCAAAAGGGCACATTGACCAATGTGGCTGGTTTGTCCATATCCATGTGGTGAGCATCTTCTGCTTAGTAACCAGTTACTTCTTCATTTCCTTTGACAGGACCCTGGCTAACTTTCTGCCAGCTTCCATTGCCGACTGTTCTTCCGAATAGAGATGAAATGGTTGTACAGCTGAATTCCTCCTTTACCCTGAAGTGCTCTGGAGACAGCGAAGTGACCTGGCAGTATCCAATGGCTGAAGGAAGCCACAGAATAGACATTAGAAATGAAGAGAACAACAGTGGTCTCTTTGTGACTTTGCTGGAAGTGGGGAATGCCTCAGCTGCTCATACCGGATTATATACTTGTTACTACAATCATACCCAAGAGGAGGACGGAGAGGTGGAGGGGAAGGATATCTACATCTATGTGCCTGGTGAGTGTGTTATGGGTGAGTGCTGAAAGGATTACCTGGGTTGCTCTGTAGAAATACCAAAGACCCTATTGAGCTTTTAAATGGAGAGCAACCTCATTATTTGGGCTGGGCATGCTCCTCTTCACAGTCATTTTGTTTTGTATGAATTTGTTCTCATGAAAGATAATGAACTGACGGCCTTGGAGACCAGCGATGTGAACGGTTAACCTGGTGCTTACTGGGTAACGGTTAACTGGACATGGGCTGGAAGCAGCAGCCCCACATGGGGCCAGCAGACCCCCCTACCTGTCACCTCTTGGGCTGGAGTGGTCTCCCCACATCTACCCCTCCTTTAACTGGTTAACTGGTTAAATGTAGTGCATAGCACTACGGTTAACCGATTAACCCGTTAAATGGGATTTTACATCCCTATGTGACTGAAGCATTCTCCCCACAAAGTGCAGGAAAAGGCAGTGATCCCCCATGGACACCTCAACTCAGACACAGAGACCAGACCTGTAGGTGCATGTAGGTCTACCTCCGTGGCCACTGATTTCTTTGCGAAGGCTTCTAGTCAGGAGAACACCAATGCTAATTATTTGGTGGTGGCTTGTAGAATGAGTCTTTTGGGACCTGTACTGAGACCAACTAACTTCATACATCCCATAACATAGTCAGTGGATGCTAATGGCTCTTGGTCACTGTTGAGCTGAATTGGGTTTGAATTGATAGCTTAGAGGTTATATATTGTGACTTTCAAATACCTGAGGTGAGGAAATGTATTAATTGATAGAAAACTTAAACTGCAGTGTAGCAGATGATCACCTATGTATGGGGTGGAGGAAGTAGGAATCCCAGATGATTATAAGATGTTGTATTTGAACACCTATAACAAGAGAGCAGGAAACAAGAATTTGCTGCGAGGCAGACTGGCAAAAGGCAAATAATGCGGTGTTTTCATGCATCATTTGCCACAAAGTGTCATAATTTCCACAGCAAGACCTGACTTTCTTGCCTGCCAACTTCCTCTCATGCAGAGTGGAAAATCTGTTAGCCCCAAAGAAATGACAATGACAAAAGCAACAAGACAGTGTAGTCTAGTAAATAGAGCACTGGCCTGTGAGTCAGGAGATCTAAGTTTCATTCCCAGTTCTGCCTCTTGCCCTCTGGGTGACCTTGGGCAAGCCACAGCTGTTCCAAGCCTCAGTTTTCCCGTCTATAAAATGGGCAAATGACACAGCAATTTGGTAAATCACTCTGAATCTACTGAGCTAGGTGTTAGATTATTAACAAGAACACTGCCCAACAGGGATTTCAGGGAACATCATCCTTCCCATTCTCTTTTTAGAAGTGCTCCCCCACACCCCTGGGGAAGTGGTGGGGACTTCACAGAATGCCCTCCTGTCTGCCAATCCTCTGAGGTTGGAGTCAGAATCTATTAAACCTATTTGTCATGGCTGTAATAGGAGTCACAGCCTGAGTCATGATCCACTATTACATGAGCAACAACGTCCTTAAAAAGAAAGAGATGATAACGATTGACATCTGGGGATTTTGGCGGGGAGAAGAGGAGGGTAAGTGGGTGGATGGGTGAAAAGTGGGTGATGTGAAGATAAATGGCTTTATAAACTTTATTGAGAGCCTGTGTAAAGCATTATATAGGACTGCCTGGGGCTCTCTTGGGGAACGGGATGAGAGACAATATTGCAGGGACACAAAGGAGCAGATGGGTAGACTGGCAGTGAGCACTCGGTGTGCTAGCGTAGACGGGCAGTACAGGAAAACAAGGGAAAAGAAAAGGTTCCAAGTCATCCTGTAAAACTTTAACATGTTAGTGAAGGAAAACAAAAAGATGCCGGGAGCTACAAAAAGATTATATAAGGGGAAAGAGGCAGCACCAGAGATGTTGTGAAGTGCCCTAAAACTTTGAAGTCTGTTTTGCAATGACATTTGGATTTTCTATGGACCATAAATGCGACTGTCAGTATGACTCTTCCATGAATTCCCTCACATTTATCATGACAAACTCACAGCACTAATATGTATTCTTAAGACAGTTATAGAAGCTTGGGCAGAGCCTGTGTCTTTATACCTCAACGTCAGGTCAGTTCTAAGTGGCCCACCACAAGAAAGATACTTCTGGGTAGGGTGGAATCTCACAATCAGGGGGAAGTCTGGGGAAGGCGACGTGGCAGCATGACTCTGCTGGGCTGCTGACAGAGGCAGCCCAGCTCAACAGCCTGGCTGCCAGGGAAGTCACAGGACCATGACACAGCAGCTCATCTTCCCCAGCCACCAGGGAGAGCTATGCCAGGGCCACAGCATAGCAGCCCTGGCTCTCCAAGTGGCCAGGAAGGACTGGACTGGGTGTCGAGGGGATCTCAGGTGGAAGGGGCAGGGCTGGGCTTGCTTTCCCCAGCTGGGCTTTCACTCAATGCCCATGCTGGGATCCCTTCTCCAGTTCAGGGGCTGTGTCCTGTTTCCCTTCTGGTGCAGTGAAGCAATGAACAGAAAGGCTGTGTCTACACTGGCACCCTTTTCCGTAAAAGGGATGCTAATGAGACACTTCAGAATTGCAAATGCCGCGGGGGATTTAAATATCCCCCGCGGCATTTGCATGAACATGGCTGCCGCTTTTTTCCGGCTCGGGGTTTTGCCGGAGAAAAGCGCCAGTCTAGACGGGATCTTGTGGAAAATAAGCCCTTTTCCGGAAGATCCCTTATTCCGTACAATAAGGGATCTTCCGGAAAAGGACTTATTTTCCGCAAGATCCCGTCTAGACTGGCGCTTTTCTCCGGCAAAACCCCGAGCCGGAAAAAAGCGGCAGCCATGTTCATGCAAATGCCGCGGGGGATATTTAAATCCCCCGCGGCATTTGCAATTCCGAAGTGTCTCATTAGCATCCCTTTTACGGAAAAGGGTGCCAGTGTAGAGACAGCCAAAGAGAGATAGAGAGAAAGGAAGAGGAGAGAGGTTCCTTGGGGGTCTTTGTCTCTCTTTTTATAGAGTCAGTCTCCCTCATGAAAAATATTTACAGCCAGAGGTGGGAGTACAGGCCAGTACAGCATACAGGTAAGAAAGGAACAAAGCTGTGCAAGGAAGCCAGTATGGTCTGGTATGCCAACCAGCAAGCTATACATAGCCAGTACAGAGTACTGGAAAGATGCCATACCACCTCCAGCCCCCGCATGGAGCTGCCTCTCTGGAGAACAAGGCAGAGGAGGGGGAAATGGGAGCAGTACAGCAGCTGGAGGAGCTTCTGATAATTCCGCTTCTTTTCGCCCACACTGCTGACCCTCCCAGTGGGGGAAAGGAGCAGAACCCCCAACCCCAAAGAGAGGCAGCTCCATGGAAGGGCAGGAGGTGGGGCTGTGGGCTCTGTATCTTTCCCTGCTGGCTGGGGCAGAACGGGGAAAGGTGCACAACAGCTGGCAGCTCCTCCAGCTGTACTGCCCCCAGTCCTCCTCTTCCTAGGTGACATGGGATAGGGAAGGGAGAGGAAGAGTATTGGGCCCCAGACTGGGAGTAGAGTAGAGTCACAAGGAGGGACATGTGGGAAGGTCACATGGTCCCCCCCTTTACTGATGTGCCCCACCACACTGGTAAGAAATTACTTTTACCACTGCTCCCAGCTGAGATTTTGGAGAGAAAAAAATTTGTGAGAAGGATGTTCCCTGTTGCTTTTCCTTAGTTGATTGAGGTTTATTTGTCTTCCCTTCCTGCTTGATGACTTTGTTTATTGCTTAAATGCAAATTAAGCAGAGTGTGCATTGCTTTGTTTGAGACAGACTTGTTTGTCAATCTCAGTTTGGATGATGTGTTAAGATCACCATACAGTAGAATCTTATAACTTCACCTACAGTGTTATCACACATATTTTAAAAGGATAATATTGTCTATTTTTCAGATAATACCTCTCAATGCAGTCTTTGTACAAAAGTTATTACAACAGTAGATAAGGTGTGGACACACAAGGTCAAAAAATGAGGTTTACAGGACCTTTCAAAAAAGGGTTTTATTTTCAAAAGATCCCCGTCTAAACTGTCATTTTTCTATAGAAAAGCCCCATTTTAAAAAAAACCCCGTGGTCAGCATTATGCAAGTGAAGCATGGGACATTTAAATCCCAGCTTAATTTGAAATTTTGAAGTGTCTATTTTACATCCCTTTTTCGAGAAAAGGGATGTAGTCTAGACACACCCACAGGTACTTTCTGTCACAGATTTGAGCCTACTAGATCTGCAAGACATAGGCATCTTGTAGTTTTTCTTCTTACTAGAGAGCCAGCTGGCAGTGTTCCAAAAGTTTTTTTCACCTATTTTTAGAATAATCAAGAAAAGTTCTGTTTCTACCCTGAAATGTTTTTATTTTGTGCAAAGCAATTCCCCTCCCAATAATAAATTATGAGGGTTGTGGGGGAGCAAATTTCTTGATCAAAACCAGCTTGTTTTAAGACTTTTACATAAGGATCTAATAGCTATACAAGCAGAAAAAAAAACTTTAGGTGAATCCTCTTTATGTTTTTAATAAACATGTGGAAAGCAAAAGTATCAACTTGGGTGAATATTAGTTCTATAGTGCTATGTTTGGGTTATTGTTACAAGGAGTCTGCCATTGTGTTATAAACCCCATTGTTGGAGGGGTTTATACTCCCATTGTTAAAATGGATGATGAACCTTGGCTCATAAGCTCATAAGCTTGCAGTAGTTATTTACGTATTTAGAAGTTGCAGATTCTGATCATTTCCAGAGCTGCTGTTTTAAAGCTGGCTATGACTTGCAATTGGCACTGGGGTGCACTGCATTGTTTTTTAAAATGTTGGGTATTTGTTTGCTTTTTTATGGTTGGGCCATTTAGTTCAGGAAACCGCGTGCAACAACAACCATAGTTAATGACACCTGAGTATCCTGGTGCTGGACACACAGAAATATATAGGTACAGATATCTAGCCAGAAATGTTTAAAAAAATCTAACTAACTTAGCTGAAAACCAATCACATCAATGTCTTTGGTTTCTAATATTTTTTCTTTGGAGGGCTGACGGGGGAGGGAGAGGAACATGAACAAGTGTTTTTTATAAAATGAATGTTTTACGAACTCTTCCCATTGTCTTCCAGGGTTCTGAGATTATATTTAAAAAGGAATTATCAATTATCTCATCAGTTTTCCCCAAGTGGGGGCTCTTACAAAGTGCACAGCCTGGTGAGTCAGCCTGAGGCCAGGTCTACACTAGCAAGCTTACCGCAGCACAGCTGTACCAATGCTGCGCTGTTGTCAGATCACTCATACAGCCACTCTGTGTGACTGACGAGACAGCTTGCTCATCGACATAACACACCTACCTCTATGAGTACTGGTAGCTGTGTCACCAGGAAAGTTTGTGTATACCAGTGTAACTTATCATCTGACGAAGTGGGTCTTTGCCCACGAAAGCTTATACTCCTACACTTCAGTTAGTCTATAAGGTGCCACAGGACTCCTCGTCGCTAGTGTAACTTATGTGGCTCATGGTGATGTTTTTTCACACCCTTGAGTCAGACCGACAAAAGTGGTAGTGTGGACATGCCCTTGGCTACTCATACTCAATACCACTTGAAAGCCAGGATATTTATTCTAAGCAGCCTAATCTCCTTTGTGCATGCCAGTTAATGTAGATCCAAAATACAAATCAATTTCCCTGAGCTGGAAAATGGGTCTTTTCAGTCCAAATTCTGCCCTAAAAGTGTTTCTGGAAAGAGTTGTCAGTGGGGTTGCATAAGCGTAACAAGAGGTTCAGCCCTTCATTTTTATTTTCTCCTTCAGGAATGTGCAACAGTTCTCACACTTAAACATTACTGATTTTCTAGCCTTTTGGTTTTTGTCTATGAATAGCATTGTGGGAAAGCTGCACCAGATCCACATCAAAAGGAAATAAGAACATTTCCCATTCTCCTGGAGACCTCAAACTTCCCAGGCTGGGGCCTATATTCTGTATCATAGGATCCTGTCTATTGGTGGGACTCCTGACTATTGGTGGGATGTCGTGTTACATGTTTCAACAGATGGAAAATATCATTATGGGTTGTTGCTAAAGAAACAAATTTATTCATTTCAATCAATATGCATAATTATCTGCTAATGTCTCCCCACTTGTACATTAAAAACAATACAATGTTAAATTATTATCTTTTTTACAGATCCAGATATGCCCTTTGTTCCTCTACTTCCAGAGGATCAATTCATCCTAATAGAAGACGGAGATTCGACCATTATCCCTTGTCGGACAAGTGACCCTAATGCTCAAGTAGTTTTAATTAACAGTGAAGCCAAGGTCGTATATGCCTATTATGACAGCAAACAAGGGTTCCTAGGAAATTTTCCTGCAGGCTCATACACATGCAAAACAACTGTTAAAGGAGTGGAGTTCAAGTCAGATCAGTTTTTCATCTACATTTTGAAAGGTACTCTTTTTTATTTTCTAAAGGACGGCAAAAATATTGAGTGCGATTCTTTCCCTGCTAACACCATAATTGCGTAAACAATCTAGCCCTAGAAGAACACCATTTGTATACAGCATATGGTTGTTAAACTTGGTGCACTCTCTTTCTTTTCCCCTCAGCTACTTCACAGCTGCCAGTTGAGATTGAGGCCCTTCAAACTGTACATGTAAAAGGAGAAACAATTGTAGTAACTTGTGTGGTCTTTGACAACGAGATGGTTAATTTACAGTGGAATTATCCAGGGAAAGTGGTAAATATCTTGGTTTGTTTTTGCATAATTATCGTTATCAGTTGGTGAGGAATATGGGGATATGAAGAGATCAGTTCTTCACCATTTGAACAAGGACAGAGGAAGAGAGAGAAGAAAGTACCATTTCTTTTATTTTCAGGTTATGACTACAGAAAATCAGTATCGGGTGATAGAATTCATATTAGTAAGCATGCAAAGGATTTGAGCAAGATTGGGGTGACTGGGAGCATAAGAAGTCATCAGGGATTGGAACTGTGGCAAAGAAGGAATAAAATTTCTCTTAAACATGTGCTTTAGAAAGCCTGGTGGAATAAAGATGGAATGTTCTGGAAATGTCTCCAAATGTCTGCATGTAACACTGGTGGGGAAGTGAATCCCAAATTCTCATAATGTTGATTCTGAAGTGAAGTTTCTGTTCAGTGAAATCCCATTTGTAGTCAGTGTCCCACAGATTTGCTGTTGTGTAAAAGGTCTGGTAATTGTGGATTTTTTTAAAGTTGCAGAATAATTTGGACCCAGATTTGCAGCTTTAATTTTTTTAAATGTAAGGGCCTGAAAAAAAAATTACTTTGTGTAAGAAGGTTCCATTTTATTTTCAGTTTTACACATTCATCACTTCAGTCTTCTTCCATTGTCACCAGTGGGGCAAGTGGGGCACTCGCCTCGCGTGCATCATAATCAGGGGTGCAAAGATGCAATAAGTAAAAATAATAAGCTGCAAATATGAAGAGTGTGACTGACATGTGCTGACCTAAGAAGAGGGGCCGCATGATTAGTATTTTGCCCCAGATACAAAAATACCTAGTTATGGCGCTGTGCACAACCTATGCAATTTTTAACCTATTTTAACCTTTGTTAGCTCCAAAACTATGCATTCTTATGGGCATACCTGCAGCATCCATGCCTGAAAATTTGTCCTTGCTCATAAAGCCATTTTTTTTAATATGGAATTTGGATCATACAGTAGTAACTCTTTCATTGCTGTCCTTCAGATGGGATCATCATTTTTGTACTGTATTTATTTCCTGTAGCTGGGTTGTTTAAATAAGGTAAGTTTTCTCTCCAAAATACAGAAAGAAAAAGGTGTGACAAAAGTTGATGACATTAAAGTTCCATCTCAGAAGCTGGTTTACACTTTGACCATTCCTGAGGCTTCAGTGAAAGACACCGGGGATTATGAATGTACTGCCCAACATGCAACCAAGGAGGTTAAAGAAAATAAGAGAGTAGCAATTACAGTTTATGGTAAGGTCCAATTCTAGTGTCCAGAAATTGTTAGCATGCTGGCAAATACCATGTTTGGAATAAAGTGAGTAGCAATATTTATGTCAACCATTGTCATTTACAGATAAAGGATTCATTCATCTGGACCCCCAGTTCAGTCCTTTGGAAGCAGTCAATTTACATGAGGTCAAAAATTTCATAGTGGATGTGCAGGCATACCCAGCTCCAAAAATGATCTGGCTGAAAGACAATGTGACTCTGACTGAGAACCTTACAGAGATTGTTACTAGTTCAAACAAGATCCACGAGACAAGGTAAAGAAAGGTCTTGATAAGGTGACGGTCTGAGTTTTTCTTCCAGAAATCTTGTGATTCCATTTAATCAAATCTATGCCTAGAATTTGGTGAGAAGAACCAAGACATCACATAAAATCTCATTTTCCTTGCCTATGATAATCCCCTCTTTGATATCCTTTCTGTCCTTCATTTCCATGCAGGGTAGCTGACAGCCACACTGGGCTCCTGGGAGCTGGAAGGGGCAGAGCCTCAGATGGGATGGCTGTGATCAAGGGCACCCCCCCCCCCAGTGCTGCCTGTGGTGGGGGGGGCTGTGCCCCCCCCTCCCCAGCCAGCCCTAAGAGTTGCCCCAAAGCACTGCATAGCTCTCTAGCAGTGGTTTAAAAAACCCAGGGTCTGGGTACTGCCATGTCATAGCAATGATAGTGATGTCCAGAGCTCCGGGCCCCTTTGAATCACCAGGCCACTGGACAGTTGCCCCCTTTCCCCACTCTTCACCCCTGTTGGTGGGCCTGCTTCCATGTCACTGTCTCCTTCTGATTCTTTTCCTGCTTTTCTTACTCTTCTTTAAGAGTTTCCTTTGGGGGCATTCCTCTTCACTGGAGTATGTCAGGGCTCTCTCTTTCCACTCATCCTCTTCTCCTTTATACTTGGGTAGCCTAACTCTCTTTTAATTATGATCACTCTGGTGGCAATTCTCAAGTATACTTTTACAGTGGTTCACTGTTATCTGTCTCTCTGATAGCTAGCCCTTCTTGTATGACTTGCAGTTAACTCAAGTTTATCAAAGCCAAACCTAGCTCATTATTTTTCCTTCGCACTTTATGCCCTTCATTCATTTTCCATTGCTGTTGACAACATTATAATTTAACGTAACCTGGGCAACATTTTTGACTCCTTCTTCCTCTTTCACTCCATATTCTACTGCTGCTTCCGCCACAATATTCACAGATTCAAAAGCCAAGAAAGGACCACTGTGATCTACCTCATCTGACTTCCTGTATAAAACAAGCAATAGAACTTCCCCAAAATAATTCCAAGAACACATTTTATAGAAAAACATCCAGTGTTGATTTAAAAATTGGCAGTGATAGAGAAACCACCACAACACTTGGCAAATTGTTCCAGTGGTCTATTATTCTTGCCATTGAAAATGTACATCTTATTTCTTGTCTGAATTTCTTTAGCTTCAACTTTCAAACATTGGATTGTGCTATACCTTCCTCTGCTAGACTGAAGAGCTCATTATCAAATATTTGTTTTACATGTAGATACTTATAAACTGTAGAAAAGTCATCATTTAATTTTCTCTTTGTTAAGCTAAATAGATTGAGCTCTTTGAATCTATCATTATAAAGCATGTTTTCTAATCTTTCAGTGATTCCTGAGGCTTTTCTCTGAGCAATTCATCAATATCCCTCTTGAATTTTAGGTACGAAAACTTTATGCCAGCAGCAGTCACACAGTGCCAAATATAAAAACCATCCCTTTCTGGCCATCTTATCAGCTAATTTGCTTTTCCAGGCTGTAATCGGCTGCTACCTTGACAATTGTAACTTCCTCTAATCTTACTACAATCCTGCCTTCTGGATACTCGCCTGGCTCCATTCCAATCTTTTCAAAATGTTGCTGTCAAAATAATCTCTTGCTCATCATTTTAATCACATCAGTGCCCTTGCCAAATCCCTGAAGGGTATGATAATGTTTACTTGCTTCTCAGAGGTGTGGGAGACTTACTTAATGTTTGAACAGCACTTTGACAGGAAGGGCATTATAGAAATGCAAAGTATCTGCGTACATATATATATTCTACTAAAATTGCTTGATTTTTGTAATTATTTGTTCTGATGTTTTATAAAATAATGTGTACAAAATCTCTTGTTTCCATAGATTCCAAAGTATATTAAAACTGATTCGGGCCAAGGAAGAAGATAGTGGAGATTATACTTTGGTTGCTGAAAACGGAGAAGAGACTAAAAGCTATACTTTCTCATTGATAATACAAGGTAAGCACATTGAGAAACCTGTTGGACTAGGCAGAGGTAGCAGTAGACAGTAAAGACAGGTTCATTCAAATACAATATCCTGCTACCTACAGGTACACTAAAATGAAAGGCCTGGAAGCCAGGAATGGCTGTGTTCTAATCCTGACTTGATTTCTTCAGAGGCCTTTTGCAAGTAGTTTATCTCCCTACCTGAGTTATTCCATCTGCAAAATGGAGAGCATACTAATTAAACTACTTCACAATATTCAGGGGGTAGCCGAATTAGTCTGTGCAGGATAAACTTAAAAAAACCCAAATGGTCTGGTAGTACTTTATAGGATAACAAAACACGTAGATGATATCATGAGCTTTCATGGGCACAGCCCACTTCTTCAGATGACCGGAGTCATCTGAAGAAAACTCCAGTCATCTGAAGAAGTGGGCTGTGCCCATGAAAGCTCATGATACCATCTACATGTTTTGTTAGTCTATAAAGTGCTACCAGACTATTTGTTGTTTTTTAAATTTACTTCACAAGAGATTATTATGAAGACAAAGAGTGCTAAGTGTTAGAATTTTAGCAACAAATCCGTTTGGCTGCTTCCCTGCCACATTGCTTAGTAGCAAAACACTAGGGCTACGTCAACATTGGCCCCTATTCCGTAATAGGGATGCTAATGTAGCACTTGGGAATAGGCAAATCCGCAGGGGATTTAAATATCCCCCGCGGGATTTGCATTTTCATGGCTGCTGCTTTTTTCTGGCTTGTAGATAAGCCGGAGAAAAGCGCCAGTCTGGACGCGATCCTCCAGAAAATAAGCTCTTGCATTTTCATGGCTGCCGCTTTTTTCTGGCTTGTAGATAAGAAAAGAAATAAGCTCTTTTACGAGGATCTCTTATTCCTACTTTCAAGGAATAAGAGATCCTCCGGAAAAGAGCTTATTTTCCGGAGGATCGCGTCCAGACTGGCGCTTTTCTCCGGCTTATCTACAAGCCAGAAAAAAGCGGCAGCCATGAAAATGCAAATCCCGCGGGGGGTTTAAATATTTACATCCCCCGCTGATTTGCCTATTCCCAAGTGCTACATTAGCATTTTTATTGTGGAATAGGGGCCAATGTAGACGTAGTCTAGCTGATTGGCTGGAGCTGGATTGTTGTTTTCCAAGAGTAGTTCTCACTGGATATGCCACTTGTACTGACTGGTCATTCAGGTAGGACTCTTAGGAACAACAGCTCACCTATAGCCACTCCACGCTCAGATTACATCTAGACTGCAGGTTTCTTTTGGAAGAAGCTTTTCCGGAAGAGATCTTCTAAAAAAACTTCTTCCAAAAGAGAGCATCCACACTGCCAAAGCACATCAAAAAAGCAATTTGCTTTTTCGAACGATAACATCCACACTGAATGGACTCTATCTTGCATTTAAGCTGTGATTACTATGGATGGAGTGGCCACCAGGGCACCTGTGCTTTTTTCCTCTTTCCTCTTCTACCGAAAGAACTCCCTCTTCCCCATCCACACACACTTTTTTCCGAAAGAGCTCTTTTGGAAAAAGGCTTCTTCCTCATAGAAAGAAATTTACCAATGTCAGAAAAACCCCTCTGTTCTTCCAATTCTCTTTCGAAAGAATGTGATAGCAATATGTGGACATAATTGAAGTTTTTTTTGAAAAACGGCTGTTTTTCTGAAAAAACTCTAGACATATCCTCATACTGTTTATTATCCCCTGCAGGAGATGCACATTTCAGGAACAATATTTCCAATATTGCCAATTCAAAAAGTTCAAAAATAGTGAGTCAGATCCCCCAAAATCATGAACTTTGTTATATTTTTTGTCTGTCTTTTGAACTCTCCCTCCCACTCCAGTGTTTGTGTCATGGTTACAATGTCACCACCTTTCTCAGATGTATAAAATGAGGAAACGTGGTCCCTGCTGCAGGCGCTCTCCCTGGCTGCCTGATGGTGTGGAGCTTCAATCTTTTCCTCTGACCCCCAAATTCTACTTAACTACATCGACCCCATGTCTGCCCATCCCCAGTCCAGCAATTAATTGCTTCCCAGCTCCCACATTAATTCTGCCGGTCCCACTCCAATACGTGCTTTTTTCCCTCAGCCTCACTTCTGCTCCTTCTGCAGCTCTAGGGGTCTTTCACACACACTTCACCCACTTCCCCTGCCTAGGCTGGGTGTTGCAGGAGTGGCAAAGGGAGGAGGGAAGGAGCAGAGTACCCCGAGGTGCTGGGTGCTTTCTGCTCCCTCCTCTCACGAAAATGGTATAAACTTCTCCCTCTCTTTCATCCCCTATCTGAAAAGTCCTGTTGGCTCCTGAGGTTTGGCCCTGGCTGCTTCCTACAGGTGTGCTCATGTAAGACATAAATAACAATCATAGTGATTTTGCAAAATAGCTTGAGTTCTGAGAGGTGGATGGGAGGAAGATCCTTTGGGGTTTTTTTTCTCTCTATTTTTCATCTTTACTTTCCCTGTGCTCTCAAATGAGGCAGCATAACAAAGGAGAATATTCCTTCTCCATTCCATCAGAGACATCCAAATTGCTACCCTACTTGTGGCTCTCAGGAGCAATGTGAGCAGTGGTGGATTTAAAGTTTCTGGGGCCCTGTGCTCAGCTTCATTTTGGGGGGCCTCTGGGAACCTAGACAAAAAAAAGAACATTCACTCTTCCTGCCCCTCCCATTTTTCATTCTTTTTCCTTCCTCCTCCTCCTATATTATAAGGAATAAGTAGTAAATGAAAAAAAGTGAGGTACTGTGACGGCCTTACCCCCTCATCTATCCTGGAGGAAGAGGGGGGGAAGATGCGAGTCCGTCACGCCCAGTCCTGCCCACGTCGGTCCCGTCCTGGGACGTCAGGCCCTCTAAACGCGAGGCTCCCTAGCCCCTCACTGCTGGGCACTCCTCGTCGGTCATGCTCCCGCACATGGAAGGGGGGAAAAAGGGGGCCCGGGCCCGCCCTCACTCATGGGCCCCAGCCCAGGGCCCTAAGGACTCAGACTGCCTGCCAGTGTGGGTCCGGCTGATGGGGGTGTGCCCCTAAACGCGTCAGTCCATGGGCTTCCTCCCCGCCCTGCCCTGGGCTACTTCCTTTCCCCCTTCCATGGTCCTTACCCCGGTGGCGGCGGGTCTCAGTGGGGCGACAGCTCGGAGTCCATCAATGTCCCTCCTGGTGGATCCAGCCTCTCTGCCCAACTGCTCCCCCCTTCCTGTGTTGTCCGGCGGTTTTTAAAGCTCCGGCCGTGCTGGTACGCCGGAGTCCGTCCCGCCCCCTGCATCATCCGCCCTGCTGATTGGCCTCTCGGCCTGTCAGGGCTGGCCTCAGCATCTCTCCAGCGGCGCTGCTGCGCTCGTCCAGCTGAGCTGCGCTTTCGCTCAGCTGACCGCGGCGCTGCCCCGCCAAGCTGCGCCTCCGCTCAGCTGAGCCGCGGTGTCCCCGCTCAGCTGAGCTGTGGCTCTACCCGGCTGAGCCGCGGCTTGGGAGCAGCCGGCGCACAGCTGGTATCTGCTCCGTGGCTTCTCTGCCAGGGCGCAGACCCCCTGGGTCTTAGTGCGGGGTCTTGATGCCCCGTCTCAGGTACCTTGATTGTTTTTGTAGTCTAACTTTTTTCACAGATCACTTGAAAATTGCTGAGGGTCTCAGTGGATCACTTAATGATCTTTCCAAATATTTTTTCTGTCATTAGCTAACTATTGGAAAGAGCTTTGGATAAGAGCAATTTATTGAAAAAAACATAATAACCTTTCCTCAGTCTACCTGAATGGAGTTTTCAGAATACAGTTTGAGAACTTCTGGTCTAGATGAAAACTTTCGTTTAATTTGTTTTTGTTTGTTTTTTTGCATTAAGCTAACATGGAAAAGATGTAAAATAAAATGTTTAGATGACACATGACTGGAAAAATAAAAGTTAACTTCCTCTGAAGAAACTTACTCAGCTTATCTATCTGAAGGGGGTGGGGGGGCACAGTTCCTTTGGCCACTTGAACACCCTTCTTCTCCTCCCCAGACTCTCCATCCTCTGGAGCTCTCCCCCTCGCCTGCGGGCAACAGCAGCGCAACATTACAAGGGCTGGAGGACTCAGGAGGAGGGAGCAGCACAGCCAGCTGCTGGAGAGAAGCAATGCATTCCCGCTTCCAAGTGTGGCTTTTTCCTGCTGGCTGTGCAGCTCCTAGGCTCTCCGTTTCCCAGCCGCATCCACCCCAGACACGGCCAGCCACCCTCCCCATCCTGTGGGCACCCACCACTCACCAGGAGGTGGTCCGCAGCAGGAACATGGGCTGGAAGACTTCAGAGGAACCTGGGTGGCTGCAAAGCCAGCAGCCAGAGAAATGTGGCACTTTCCCGCTTCAAAGCACTGCTTTTCTTTGGCTGGCAGTGCAGCTGGCCTTTGCGACTCTGACGCCTTCCAGCCTGTGTTCATGCTGCTCACCACCTCCTCCTGGATCTCCTGGGGCTGCAGCCTGTAGGTGAGCCTTCCTGCTCTCCTCCCCCCCCCCACAGCCCACTTTGCAGAGGGACTGCACCCCGCACAGGGGATGCTGGCCTGCCCAGCCCTTGGGGGTCCCATGACATTTGGGGGGCCCCATGGCAGGGTATGGTATGTTTCATTATAAATCCGCTCCTGAATGTGAGGCTCTCATGTTCTCCCTATGTCCCAGCTCTGAGCATGCCCCTTCCACAGTGCCCCCTTCTGGTGCTGTGTTATAGCCTGGCAGGATATCAAGGTCAATCTGAGTTAGTCATATCCTTCAGGGAATCATCAAGCCTGGAGCGAAGTAAAGAACTTAGGACCCAGACTTGGATTCCCTGAGGAGCAGAGCAATTTAAACCTCTGTCATATTCCATTTGTAATTCTACCCCAAATACAGGGGGGAAATGTTGACATGTGTTTCCCTATTCACTTCTAGTTGCAGCGTCAATTCTAGACCTAGTGGATGATCACCACAGCTCTGGAGGGGGACAGACAGTCCAATGCATGGCAAAAGGGACACCTTTCCCTGACGTGGATTGGCTGATTTGCAAGGACATTAAAAAGTAAGAAAACAGATGTGCCTTTATCTCCAAATGTGAGTGTTTTCCCTTGACCAACATAATTTAAACTCATGACACACATTCCTGGTCAGTCCTCTGTAAATTATGATTCTAGATTGTCTTGCCAAAGTGACAAGTTGTTTATACTTAATCAGCATAGAGATGGGGCTAGGAGATATTCCTACTGATTTTGTTCTGTAGACACATCTGCTATATTTATTTGGTAAGTTTCTCTAAGCGGAGATTAGTATTGAGTGCGACTCAATGAAGTCCAAAGAAGATTGAAAAAGTCAGATGCATATCCACATACTTCTGAAGCTCTCCTGCCATCTCCTGAACAGACTAACCTATCCCTTTCATGTTCCCCCAGCCACCTTTCTTCCTGTAACTGATCCCATCATAGATAATATATTTTACATTCAATGTGCTTTAAAATATTAACTAATTAATCCCCTCACATATGCTGATCTAGTTCCAGGGTCATCCATTCTCCTCCTCCTCTGGAGGCAGTCTCACAGGCCGCCAACAAGTCTGGTGAGCCCCAGCAGCCCTGGTAACTTCAGAGATGCTTTCTAGTGTCATTATATTCACATTTCACTATTGCCCTATGGGATTTCCCACTCTTTTCTATCCCAGAATTGGTGCCAGGACTTCAGAGACAAGCCAAAAATTCTGGGATGTAATGAAAACCCCCAAAGCAAAGCAAAGTTTGGACTAAGCAGCAGTGGACTGCTGGGCTCCATTACTGGTGCTTTAAAGATAGTAGTGCTGGTAGGGATCAGAAACCTATTAGTTATAGGAGCCAGGGGATTATTAGGCAGTGGGTACATAATTTAAACATTTTTGGTCCTTAAAATTATTCTTGCCAAAGGAAAGGAGAAGGGAAAAGCCTTAGGGTGAGCCTCATTTTGTTTACACTTGCTGACCCATACATAAATCTGATGTCTATATTCATGGTTATTCTATTTCTGCAGATGCAGTAATGATACCTCATGGATGCTTCTGACTAACAACATCTCAGATATACACATGGAGGCTCATCGGGTTGAGAAGGACCAGGTGGAAAGCCAGGTGACCTTCCAAAAGGTAGAAGAGACCCTGGCAGTACGGTGCATGGCGAGGAACACTCTTGGTGCTGTTACTCGGGAACTGAAGCTTGTGGCTCCTAGTGAGTTAACTTTGTCACTCCCCATCAAATCTGGAAATAATTATGCAATATGTCTAATAGGTTTTAAAAAAAACCCAGCTTTTTGAAAGTAAATAACAATGCAAACAGTTTTGACAAATCTTCCCCAGACGTGAGCCATTCTTCAGGTCTTAGTTCTGGATCCATCTTTCCCATATTATGTAGCTCCATGATCTGTCTGTTCTTTTTAGTTACTAATGGCCATGGAGGCCTCTTCAGGTTACCACAAGTGTTCCTTAATTACGGAGGGAGGGTTACGCTAGACAGTGAATAGCTTAATGTTCCCTGCTTCAGAAGACTGCATTATCACATCTGCAGTGCACATGAACTTTGATGGCAAAGGAGTGGGAGTCTTATGTCACTCACAAACTTTATCACATCCTGCATTCAGGAGGCAAATCTAAATTACACTCTTTTCTTTTACTACAGCATTGAATTCAAAATTAACCGTGGCTGCTGCAGTCCTAGTGTTATTAGTGTTTGTGATTATTTTACTGATTGTCCTGGTCATCGTATGGAAACAGGTAACTTAAAGAATGTAATTTTTATATTGAATTCAGTGAGTGATCTGACCCATTTGTAAATCAGGCATGAGCCTGACAATTTATGTTTTATTTATTATGTATGGCAGAAACCAAGGTATGAGATAAGATGGAGAGTCATTGAGTCTATCAGCCCTGATGGCCATGAGTACATTTATGTGGACCCAATGCAATTGCCCTATGACTCAAGATGGGAGTTTCCTAGAGATGGATTAGTACTTGGTAAGAACTGCGAGCCCCTCTTCTTCTGTAGAGATAAGATGTTGATTTAATGATGTGGTGAAGCAGAGCTTTTGACCTACAATCATTGGATGAGCTCTGTGAAGAGCCAAAGTTTGCAGAAAAAGTTGATTTACAGAAAAATAACTTTCTATGTTGTGAAATGAAAATATCACACCACAGCAATTCTATGCTATCCAACATTAATACTGTTCTTAACCTGGCATATAAACAAAAGCAGAAAAGACTTGCAAAAACATAGAAATGAGAATGCCCTGGCAAGTATATAAGTACCATTGCCCAGTATTGGACAGAATCTCAGACATGCACCGTGTGCTTGATCATGTCACCCACTAGTATATGGATCACAGAGTATAAAAACCCTAATGCTATTAAAGTTCATGGAAATTTCCACGTAGTGGCATCATTAGGAGCTTTGGATTTGTGAACAGAAAGTTTAAGGACAACTGAATCTCCATGCCCATGGCTGGAAATACAGCTGATGGCCATGAAGTTCTATGCGGCTGCAGAATCTTTACAAAATTATTAATAAATGAACAAGCAAACTGATTTTTCATGGAAAGTTATTCTGAATATACCAAAAATACATTCATCTACACCTATCTTAGATGCTTGACTTTCCTCCAAAAATCCTCTTCTCTTTCTCCTTTTTCTGTCATATCACTATCCTCCCTGTCACCCTGACTTGAAACCTGGAGCCATGTTTGCCTCTCCCACTCTTTTACCTCTCACATCCAAGCTTATTCACAACATTTCTGAGATCCAATTTCTTCTCTTTCCAGACAGCAAAGTTCTCTCCTGTGTTGAGTGCTGTGACCTTTTCATATCTGGCATTTCTTCTCCCCACATGGCTCCTCTCAAGTCCCTACAAAACTGTCACTGTCCTTCCTTTGATTTATCCCTGCTTCATTGCCTTAAGTTCAAGCTCCTTCCACTTCCTCTTAATGGTCTGTGGAACTGCCCCTACTTATGTATCTGTCCATATTTTTCTTCACACTACCCACTGACCATTCTTCTCTACCAGACTTGGCTGCCTTGAGACACACATTTTAGTGTCTCTAAATATACCTCTTTCATACTGCTTCCACACTGCTTCACACATCATGCTTTCCCCAAAATGGTTTGTTAGGCCATTAACTTCTCCTCTCCTCCCTAAATTCCTGCCTTAAGATTCACTTCTGCTGAGAAGCCCACAAGAAGTGAGTCAGCAATGGCATTTTTATTGTAAAATACAATTATTAATTCTATCTGTAGGAACCAAATGTAACCTGGAAGTAGTTATGCCATTTTATTAAAAAATGTTATAATTTATTAATCCATGATGTGAAATGCTATTGTCAAGTAACCTCATAAACTTATTTCTGTAACCACTGCCTTTCTTTCTTCCACTCCTGCTTTACCGTTTCTTTGTCACATCTCATGTGGAATTCAACTATAAGGGAATTTTAGGAAGTGTGATATAATAAATAATTGTCTGTCTGCTTACCTCTTTCTCTCTCCTATCTGTATATAGCATCTTATGTATTTTGAACATCCCCATTACAGAGGTATCTATGCATCAAATAATACACAAAACGTGAAAAAAAAGAATGCTATTTTTGTTTCATACACTTTACAAAACCTCTTCACTTTATACACCTCTATTTCTTATGTGAATCAATATAATCAAAAGTACTTCTTGTCAGGGAGCGGATTTCTGTTGATTCTCAAATGAATGTATCACCAGGAATTTCTGATTCAGAAATAAATTTGTTTAATTAAATTTGCTATGCTAACTGCAGACTAAACCATGATGGACATTTAAGGGAAATATTTGACTATGTCCCTGGCTTTAATTATATGAGTAAAAAGATTGCTGGAATTGCATTGTTAATTGTTCACCACAGTATTTTTTTGTGTCTCTGTGACTCATTGGCATCAGTTAACTTCAATATATTCTTGTTTATGCGGGAGGAAGGTTCACTTTAGAAAAATGGCATTGCATGTTCTTATAGCAAATGTATTGAAGATCTTAAGAGGTATCCAAAGCCTTTAGGAAAATTAGGGGATGTGGCTTAACTAGTGTTGTTCCTTAAACATGCAAGTTTCCTCTTCTTCCAGAAGGCCTCCTTCTACCTGTTTTATAGGGTTGTGGTATCTAGAGTGTGATATCTGGAGTGCAAGGTGACCATACTCAGCTTTGGGTCACTGGAGTTCAGTTGACTGGAATTCAATAAATTGAGGTCACACTACAATTTTGCTTTGTTTTGTTCCCCCAATGTATTACACTGATGGAGTGTGAATAGGCCAACGCTGACTCAGTGCTCTGGTGGAGGGTTGGGGGCAGCATCCCTACCTTAGGTAAATTGAGGAGGTAATAGTTAAGTTCTCAGTGATTAACTAATTAGCTGGGTGATTCAGCTCATCAGCTGGAAACCATTACAAGAGAGAGGCAGGAAGAGCCTAGGTTGGAAGGCTGCAGGCCAAAGAAGCCCAAGATTTTAAAGAGGTCAGAGCTCTCCCCTGCCCTGTTTGTTGGTAAAGGACAGACTTGGGGAGAAGTCGTATATTATGGTGAACAAACATTTATCAAGCACATTGTAAATAAAGCACTTGGTTGAATTTGTTAATGATGTGTGTGAGGGCTGTGTGCAATAGGAATCCAAGGAGAGGAAACCTTCTCCTGTGACAATTACATACAAGGATGGGGTTTAGATCCTACAGTCATGGATGAGTTAGAACTACCTGAGAGAGATAAATTACATTGCAATGACTTGGTTAATGTGTTTAAATACCACTACCTTCTGTTGGATACGCAGGCTGTCCTCACTATGAGTCCAAGATATGTTCAAAAAAACTTGGACTTATAGCAAAATGATTTTTTTTTGCGTGACTTAAGAGCAAGGAATAGGAGGACTTATAGTTCCTACAAGTACCAACAACTTTAGTGCAGAATGGATATATACCAGGGAGAATTATAGCAGGGATGTCCTGTAATCAGAATACCCCCACTATGTGCCATAAGACCTCCATTGCTACTAGCTAAATCAACATTCTTCTTTCTCTGAAGTGGTAGAAAATAGTGATTTTAGAATGCCAAGATCTGAGTTCTATCCCTGCCATTGCTGTGAATTTCTGAATGGCCATAGGGTCTGTCTACACTTGCACCCTCTTTCGAGAGAGGGATGCAAATGCAGCTGAGTGAAATTGCAAATGAAGCATGGATTTTAATTTCCCGCACTTCATTTGCATATTTGCGTTATGGCGCTGTTTTGAAATAGCGTTATTTCGAAAAAAGAAATGCTGTCTAGATGCAGTTATTTCGAAAGAAAACCCTTCTTCTGAAATAACCCTTATTCCTCCTACAACGAGTTTTACCAATTATTTCAGAAGAAGGGTTTTCTTTCGAAATAACTGCATCTAGACAGCATTTCTTTTTTCGAAATAACGCTATTTCAAAACAGCGCCATAACGCAAATATGCAAATGAAGTGCGGGAAATTAAAATCCATGCTTCATTTGCAATTTCACTCAGCTGCATTTGCATCCCTCTCTCGAAAGAGGGTGCAAGTGTAGACATACCCACAGTGTGCAGCATAGTGACATGCATGGTCTCGTACATGGCCACAAATGTGCCACAATAGTCTTATTAAAAATCTGGTGTTACTCTGCCTGATAAACTCTGAAAGACTAATGGCTTCACTCCCATGCCCAGACTACCAACAGTATTTAAATACCAACCGAGTGACCCAACTATGTAGCTGCTTCATGCACAAAACTCCATTGAAACTAATGACTCTAAATTCCCTGAATAGTTCACAAGACTGGATATGGCTTCAGAGTCTATCATTTATTAGCCACTAACACAGACTGGCACCCTACGCCAATGACTGTGTGTGTGTTACCATTTGGAGGCTGGATTTGAAATTAATTAATTGGCACAATGCAAATTTATGTGTCTAGGTCTCCATTTCACAGATCTACATCTGGAGCATCTCAGGAACTTACCAGATTTATGCTTAGAGTGGAATTTGGTCTAGAATTGATGACAAAAATGGTCTCTCTCCTTGGCATTCTAAGCAGAGAAGCCAAGGACTGAATGTAGATGGATGCTGAACTAAGGCACCTCCTTATCCCAAGATATTGCCTTTTCCATCAATGTAGAGAAATAGAAGAGTTCACTCTCCAGGGCTATCACTCTGGCACCAGTATAGTAAAAATAAACATAAATGTATAGTCTAATTGGGGGCAACCAGTCAAGGTGTCTGTATCAATAGCATAAAACTTCACTTTGTGCCAGAAGAAGCATTCAGCTCCAAGCAGTTAACTCCAATTCCAAAATGCAAGGGTAAAAGATATGGGACGCAGGACTTAAAAAATATGTGAAGAGTATGGTGGAAGGGGGAAATAATGGAACCACTTCCTAAATGTCAGAGGCTCACCATTCTCCACAAGTCCTCAGATTGCACTGAAATACCAGTGCGGGGGAAGGACTTCTCATACTCACAGTCCGATACAATTGTGGACTGAACTCGTGAGTGCAGATGACAAGATCAAGCCATGTTGGCAAAGGTCAGCATGTTTAAAAGGGCTGCATCCTGCCATGTGGTTCACAGATCTGGAAGCTGAAAATGTTCCAGGGCTAAATTACACACTCAGGATGGCGGAATTTAATAGGAAGCATCTCACATCCTGACTGGTAGGAGACTCTAGTGGCGCACAAGAATAGGAAAGAAAATGAGAAAAAATCATGCTGTTTTGTAACCGAGTTGAGAGAGACCTTAGATAGGATTATAGATAGGCCAGCACTGACCATTTCTGAAAATCCCATCTTTCTTGTTTATCTTGGTGATACATTCATTTTTTTACTGAAAATTACATGTAAGTTTGTTCACTATGGGCTCGTCTAGATGGCATTCCTCTCTCGAAAGAGGAATGCAAATGAAGCAAATAAAAAATTCAAATGAAGCGCGGATTTACAAATTTTGTGCTTCATTTGCATAATCGCGTCCGAGCGCTTTTTTGACAAAGGGTTTTTCGAAAAAAAAACAACCCCTGCAGTCTAGATGGGGTTCTTTTTTGGGGAAAAAACCCTTTTTCAAAAGAACCCATACACCTCATTTTTTCGGGAGTACGGGTTCTTTCAAAAAAAGGGTGATTTTTTAAAGAACCCCGTTTAGACTGTGGTTTTTTTTTCGAAAACTCCTTTTTTGAAAAAGAGCTTGGATACGATTATGCAAATGAAGCACAAGATTTGTAAATCCTTGCTTCATTTAAATTTTTGATCTGCTTTATTTGCATTCCTCTTTCAGAGAGGAATGCAGTCTAGACATAGCCTATATGTAGGCCTTGTACTGGGTATTGTAGTTAAGAGAAAGAGTAGCATCTTCAGAAGCATCATCTCCAGAAATGAAGGAGAGAACAGGGGCAATATATGACAGATTAAGGGTAAACGACAGGAATATTAAAAGGAGCAATGTTGTATTTCCCGATAAGAACAGAATCCGGGTGACCTTTTTTTTTTTTTGGTACTGGTAATAAAAAAAAGTGCATCCGAAATGTGATCACATACTGACATCTGGAATTTATGCACAGTTTGTTTACTGAACAGACATTGACTTAATGCACCTGCACTTGCTTTTGAATATCAAATCCATGGACTTTAGTAATTTGGGTGTATTTTTGCATGTTGTGTATTTTTTAAAAAATCTGTCTGGAGTCTTCAGTTCCTCATACAATTCTTCCACATCCTGAACCCACAACAAAGGATAGAATATAATAATCCACCATTTTGTCTTAACTGATTTGTGGGCAGAATAAAGTGGGTTAAACATGGGAGGTGTGAATATAACATATGGATTGTAGCAATACAATCTATATGAAACACATTTGTTTATGAAACTTCAGAGGACTTTTCCCTCATGGGCAATCAGCATGTATTTTAACTTCTCTTAGATTGTTGATAGTCCCTGGTTTTGAATTCTTAAACTAAGCTGGTTCTGACATCAAATCTATCTTATTGTTAGAGCATGAACATAACAGTCTAAGGCACTCTGCTGGACTATCCTTTAGATCAGTGGTCCCCAACCTTTTGGGGCTGCCAGGCACCTGGGGGCGGGACCGCACATATGCCGCTTGCCTGGGGGCAGCACCACACATGCACCGCGCACCCGGGGCAGAGGCCGCGCATGCTCTGGGCGTCTGGGGCGTAAGAATGGCTCGGGCCGGCCCTGGTCACTAGATGGGTGCACATAAATGCCCCAGCAGGCACCATTGCGCCCACGGGCACTGCATTGGACACCACTGCTTTAGATTGATAGTTCTATCTGAAATTGAGTCTAACGACAGCGAGGGCATCAAACTAATCATGGAGACTCAAATTCTGCCCTGGGGTAAGCAAAACAACACAACTCAAATCAGTTACACTACAACAAACTTTGGAACAGAGAATTTAGATTAGGCAATAGGAAATCAGTGTTCTATAGTTAAAAGTGTTCAGCCAAAGAATTTAGTGGGCAACCCTGAATGAAACAGGGAGTCCCAGTGATGTCACCTCCTGCCCTACAAGCTGATTAATAATGTGCTCTTGTCTTCTTGGTTACTTGGCTTTTTTTAGGAATATTGTTTAATTCAAGCAATTCTTTTTCTTGTTTTTTTCCTGCTTACCTGATTTTTATTGGTGGTGGTGGTATTACTACTACTAGTGCTACTACCAGCCTTAGAAGAACATGCTCACTCTGTGTACATAGAACACATACCAGCAGCATTACATAAAGAGCAATGGGTGCAGAAGCTGAGATAAGTTATCATGCAACTGTTCATTGACTAACAAACTCTATTGTCTGCAGGGCGAATCCTGGGTTCAGGCGCGTTTGGGAAAGTGGTTGAAGGAACTGCATATGGATTAAGTCGCTCTCAACCGGTGATGAAGGTAGCTGTGAAAATGCTAAAACGTAAGTGATTCTCATGTTGTCAGTATCCAAGCCAGGTGGTTCAAGCTTGTGCAGAATCATTAGCATTGTTTTCATTTGTATCTCTGATTTCTCCTTACATTTGTAATGTTGAAAGTAAACCATAGAGCTGCCTGATTTTGAGATTCTTTTGGACTGATCTGTGATATTTGTGGTTTAAAAATATCCTTGAGGCTTCTGCAGATATTAGAAGGTTCTGTCTTAATTGCATTGGCTTAGACTTTGAGCTAACTCAAGAAGTTTGGAAAAGGATAAATAATCTTTTTTTTTTAACAAATTAAAATAATACCATGGTGCAATGAAGTGGAATCAGTCAGATTCTCAGGTACAGGTTGAAACTCTTTTAACTGGGACTCTTTACTCCGTCACGGACCATGGATGTTCCAGGACCAGAGAGTCTCACTGGAGGGTGAGCACCCAGGAGCCCTGCAGACTGGCAAGGCAGCGGGACTTCCCAACAGGAGCCAGGCTCTGCAGCGGGAACCCAGCATGCAGAGACAATAGGGCTGCTGGGCACTGGAGCAGCACCCTTGGGACCTGTCCAGTCCCAGATGGGGGATTTTGCTGGACCAGAGGTGGTCATTTCTGGCCTCTGGCTGCCAGCCCCTCTAATCCTGGCCCAACGACTGCCCTCCCAGCTGGCTCCATACTCTTGCTGGCCTGCTGCCCTACCAGGCAGCCCCACTGCCTGTGCACACACCGGGGGTCCAACCTATAAAGAAATTCCTCTCACTGAAGTTCCACTGATACTAAATCATCTTATGTTAGCTAAGGAGCTGACCCAATGACTTGAAAAGAAATTTAAAATCAATGACTACAGCATATATGTGGTAATGTGCACCCATCACACCACAAAGAGCTACTTTTGAGGTAAAAATCAGTGATAAACGTTTTGGAATCTAATATCTCTGTGTCTGTAAATATTTCTGATAGTGGTGCTCTGGCATGATCAGAAAGGTGAGGGGGTTAGCCTGTGAGTATATAAACCTCACAAGCCAGATTGGCTGGTGTGTGATTGAAAGTATTGGGCAGAAAGATTGTGGGCCCTTGATTTAGGGCTGTGTAGTTGAAATAGGGTTATCAGATGATTTCAAAAAAATACCAGACACACTTGATCTCAGATGGGAGTGGGGACTGGTGAGGAGGGGAGCAGGGCTGGCCAGGAGGAGGTTGCGGGAGCGGGGCTGGCCAGGGAAGATCGGGGGTGGGGGGGAGAAATGGCCGGTAGGAAGCAGGGCTGGCCAAGAAGGGTTTGGGAGGAGTGCGGCTGGCTGGGAGGGGGTTGGGAGGAGCAGAACTGGCTGGGGGAGACTGGCTGGCAGGAAGCAGGGCTGGCTGGGAGGGAATTGGGGGGAGTGGGGCTGGACGGGGAGGAAATGGTAGGCGGGGAGTGGGGCTAGCCCGGGCGCACGCAGGACCCGGGGTGCTGCCTGTCCTGCGCACAGTCCCGGCAGGGTGCACAGGCGAGTCCGGCCCTGGGGATTCCTGCCCCGGCCCTCCTCTCTACTGTGTAGTTGCGTACTGCCTGGCTGGTAGACACACTCATGCAGTGTGAGCGTGTCTACCATCCAGGCAGTACGCAACTGCATACTGATACCCATGATAATAATAAATCTTAATAGAAAATACCGGACATATAAATCTCAATTTATTTCCCAGACAGAAAGCTCAAATACCGGACTGACCGGTTCAAAACCGGACACCTGGCAACCCTAGTCTGAAATGGTATAAAATATATTTGCCTTAAGGCTTCTCTATTTTATTCTGGTTGTTCATGGCCCCCAAAGGCTGTTCCATTCAGTGGGTGCTGTCAGGGAGTAGAGGTGCTCAGTGGGGAGCTTCTAAAGAGACTCTGTCAGTATTTAATTTGTGCCAGGCTTAGCCCCAGCACTTCTAGGCTTGTCAGTTCTCAGCTCTGGCACTGGGCCAAGAAAATTGCTTGAGCCCTGGCTATTACAAATCTAGCCCTTGTCTCTGTGCCACTTGGAGGTTCATCCAACCATGGAGAAAACTCAAAGGGATTATGACCTGGGATTATGACCACTTTGTATCACAGAGAATGGCAAATAGATAGGACTCACTAGTGAATTGTGTCATGTGAGTCCTTTATTAGTATCTAGTAATTCCATCATCAGATAAAGTGCAAAGCCAACCTCAAGAGGCCTCTATGTAAATGTTTTCACCAATCAAACAATGCATCATATTAAATATTTGTATTAACGGAATTGTATTAACATTTTCAAGAACAAGGATCCTTGACCCTTAAGTGGCCTGTTTATTTTTCTGACAGCCACAGCTAGATCCAGTGAAAAACAGGCACTGATGTCTGAATTGAAGATAATGACACATCTTGGGCCCCATTTGAACATTGTGAATCTCTTAGGAGCTTGTACCAAATCAGGTAGGTTTGTCTAAGATAAATCAATGTTTGCCAAGGATATAAAATTGTGTATTTAACAATCCCAAATTGGTGTCTGCCAAGCAACTAAAATTAGCATTTAACATAGTCTAGGTGTTGAGCAAGTATACTGGTAGTTCTTCTTACAGCCCAACAAATAGACTTGCACAATCCTTAATACTCTGTATACTGTTTATTTGGTTTCCATGATCTTTTCACAGATTTATATTTTTTCTCTTATCTAAGTATTATTGTGCCATCTTTCATTAGGTCCAATTTACATCATTACTGAATACTGCTTTTATGGTGACTTGGTAAACTACCTGCATAAAAACAGGGATAATTTCCTGAGCCGACATCCAGAAAAGTCAAAGAAGGACTTCGACATTTTTGGGATGAACACAGCTGATGAAAGCACAAGAAGGTGGGGAAAAAGGTGGACAAAAAGACCTGGTGCCTGATGTTACAATGCAAGGCCCTGATGTTACAATGCAAATCTTGATTTAGGCAAATAGCCTCATCAACTAGTCTTATATAAGTGTCTGAATTTGGATATAGGAGTGTAATATAAGCACCTAGTTTAGAAAATGTTGGGCAGGGTTTTTTTTATTACCCTGAGAAGTAATGTTTTATACTTCTTTGCATCAGAGTGACATGATAGGCCTTACTGTGCCATAATTAACTATGATCTAGAAGTAGAACTATGAAAATGCCATGTGAAATATCAACCAATTCACTGGGTAATATTGCCTTTGCTTATTATTTCAGTTATGTCATTTTATCTTTTGAAAACAATGGAGAATACATGGACATGAAACAAGCTGATACAACACAGTATGTGCCAATGCTGGAAAGGAAGCAGGGTTCTAAGTATTCGGATATCCAGAGATCGTTGTATGATCGGCCTGCATCATATAAGAAAAAATCTGTGTCAGGTAAGTGTATTTTTTGTTGTTAAAAATTATTCCTTCAGAAATGCCTGTTACCTCTGCTCTCCAATAGAAAGAATTAGAAGTACTCCAATATCTGTGCAAGCCTCATGCAGTTTACCAACAAGGAAGATTCTCCTTCAGCTCATGTGATAGCCATCTGTGCTTGTGGGGCAAAAAGAATGGAGTTTTATCTTTGTGGTTGCTGCAGCTGAGCCGTCATGATTAGGGATGTGAATGATTAACTGGTTAACAGGTAAGCATCACCCTTACGGGTTAACCAGTGAGGATTGGAGCAGCTTCCCATCTTCCACAGGCAGGGAGCTGCTCCAGCCTTGTGGTGCCCACTGCAGGTTGGGTGCACTCCAGCCCTGCCAAAACAGCCCCTGCCTGTCCCTCTTTAATTGGTTAACTGGTTAAATGTTAACTGATTAATCATGGAATATGGCATGGTGACATTCAGGGTCTTAAGTAGCAATGGTATTGTTACTTCTGTGCGTGTTACAAGATTTTGAGCAATGTCACAGTACTACTCACCATGATCATTTTTCTTTCCCTGTTTGCACTTTCATTATCTGACATTTATGAAAAAGGGAAAAAATTCAAATGCTTTTCTGGATTATGTAACACAGGTGAGGAAGGGCCGCACATCCCATTCCTCTTCCCTTTTCTCAGCAAACAAAAGCACTGCTTCCAAAAGAAGGTTGCTCATTTCTGTCTCTGAATCATTTTCAGACTCAGAGTCAATACCAATTCCCAAGTCATTAGTCCCATCAGTGCACTGCTGCTTTGCTCTGGGTCAGCAGGGATAAACGAATTGCTTGGACTGCTTTTTCCTGAATTTGTTTTAATTTAAAAAAGAATGATTGCCATAGAATTCCTGATCCTCCACTGATAGTATTGGACATATTCTAATGTGTAGGTGCTGAGAAACATAACAGCGCTCAGCAAAACTGAAATGGTCAAAAATGTACAAAAGTCTTAATGGCATTACCATATCTAAGCTAATGCCTAGCTTCTAACCATGTCAGATTGTAAACACAACCCACATAATGTCACTGGCCCTTTCTAACTTAGCTGTTTTTTACAGTTCCCCATAAAAAGTCTATGTACAGAAGACAAACAAAAAACTATATTTAATATTGATTTTTTTTCATAAGGAATGCAGCTTGTGTTAGTAACTGATGCAAACATGATTATTTATTCTGAAAAGATGGATTTGGGGTCATGATACTCTGTTAACATCATTACTTCAGAGGCACAGAAGGTAGAAAGAACATGGGCACCAATTGGCCTAAATACACTTTTATAACATACCCCCCTTCCTTTCTGCTTTTTTCAACAGAACCAGAAGTCAAAAACCTGCTTTCCGATGACAATTCTGACAGCCTCAGTCTGCTGGATTTACTAAGCTTCACGTACCAAGTTGCACGAGGAATGGAGTTCTTGGCTTCTAAAAATGTGAGTGTCATGTGGAACACAATAGAAATGGCCTAGTCTTTTTTTTTTTTTTTTTACTATTATTTAAAAATCACAACATGAAAGATTGTCCTTTCAAGGTTCTACACATTCTCCTTGTTAACTAGAAAGCCAAGACAAAAGTGATTACAAATTACTAGCCAAAATATCAACTGCAAGGCAGAGCTTTTTCACATCATACTTTCCTAGCTGACAAGACCCACCCCCTCCCAAATCTACCCTCCTTAAGTGCTGGCTCAAAAGATGGTCCAATTTTAAACAGTGCCTACCTAAAAGGTCAACACATTTTTTTGCGGGGGGAGGAGGGCTATGCATTCCAAAGGAAACGTGCCTTCATGGGAATTGGTATCTCTTTACATGTCTTATCTCTCCATGCAGTGTGTGCACCGTGACTTGGCAGCTCGTAATGTCCTTCTGGCTCAAGGAAAAATTGTGAAGATCTGTGACTTTGGTCTGGCTAGGGACATCATGCACGATTCCAACTATGTCTCCAAAGGCAGCGTATGTACTTCTTTAATCTTTTTCTTTCAGTTCTTAATTGAGATGATAAGTTTCAGTATAATATGCTTTGTAAGATTCTTCTGGTCAGAGTTTGCTTACACTAATTGACAGCAAGATGAAAACTAGGGGAATAAAGTTTGTCTGAATGATAAAAAGTTCTTGGCCAGAACAAGCATTTAGCAGTCAGATTTTAACTGGCCAGTTTTGTGACTGAATAAATTATTAGGCACTGTCATTATAATGTAACATAACATAGCAATCAGTGACACATTTGCATAAGCAAATCACCAGTCTACCTCCTATATCATGTCCACAAATCAACTGAGTCACTTGCTAACACTTTATCAATTCAGCGATTCCAAGATTAGTCTTTACACGGAGTAAGTAGAAGCTTTGCTCCCAATCCTGTAACCTCTTCATAGTTCCTTGAATAAAACAACTTACTAACCACTTCAGCAAATGTGTATTAGTGCAAACTTTCCTGCTAAAAATGATACACCTGCTCTACTGAGCAGGATTTCTGTAATGATAAATATGGTGGGTTTTTTTGCAGACTTTTCTCCCAGTGAAATGGATGGCACCTGAAAGCATTTTTGACAACCTGTACACCACATTAAGCGATGTCTGGTCTTATGGCATTCTGCTGTGGGAGATATTTTCTCTTGGTATGTACCATGAGCGCTTCTCTACAGTAATAATTAAGTTGGGTGAATTCATGCCATATTAAATTAAGAACTGTAAATTCTATTGTGCTAAACTGCAGGGATGAATTATCTCAATGATTTCTAGTAGATATTACTGGGATCAGAGTCCCACTGTGTAAGGTTCTGTGCAGGCATGAAGTAAAAAGTCAGCCCCTGTGCCAAAGAACTGAGAGTATTGGTTTTTGATAGTAGGCAGATTAAAGGCGTGTGCTATTGATCACTGCTGACTTTGAGTTGGCTGCTACTGAGTTGAAAGCCACCCTCAACTCATTTCCTTCCATTTACTGAACCAAAGGACAGAGGCATACTACATACAGGCTTGGGAAAACTTGCCTAGCAGACAGGCTTAGGGAAGCACAGCTAGGCTGTGTCTAGACTGCATCCCTTTTCCGGAGCTTTGCCGGAAAAAAGCGCCAGTCTAGACGGGGATCTTTCAGAAAATAAAGCCTTTTCCGAAAGATCCCCTATTCTTCTTAAAATAAGGAATAAGGGATCTTTCAGAAGGGACTACGGCTACACTGGCACCCTTTTCCTGAAATGCTTAAAACAGAACAGTTTTCCGTTATAAGTATTTCCAGAAAAAGCGCGTCTACATTGGCCACGGACGCTTTTCCGGAAAAAAGCCCCGATCGTCATTTTTGCTATCGGGGCTTTTTTGAGGAAAAGACTACTGTGCTGTCTACACTGGCCCTTTTCTGGAACAGTTTTTCCGGAAAAGGACTTTTGCCCGAACGGGAGCAGCATAGTTTTTCCGGAAAAACACTGACAATTTTACAGTAGATCGTCATTGCTTTTCCGGAAAAGCAAGCGGCCAGTGTAGATAGCTGGCAAGTTATTCCGGAAAAGTGGGCTGCTTTTCCGGAATAAGTGGCCCAGTGTAGACACAGCCCGCATGTACTGGGACTAGAAGAAGAACGGCTCTTTAGCTGACCTACTGACTAACCCCCTGGGCAGCTGCCCGTATGCTTGGTGGCTCATTTCAAGCCTGGTAGGAAGAGACTAAATTAGGTGAGTCTGCCTGAAATTACAATGGTGAGAGCTGACGGCATTGAATAGCCCTTGGACTCACCACATGCTAGTAGCCTTTAAAGTGAGCAGTGACTGTTAAGCTCTAGAATGACTTGTCACATAAGTACTTATTAAAACAGCAACACACACACACACACACACACACACACACACATCTATCAGCTGGGTTTATTCAGCCCTTGGCAACTGAGAACCTGAGTATCTCACAATCTTTTAAAATTTTCCAGCACTGCTGTGAGCAAGGCATGTTTTGCAGATGGGCAACTGAGGCTCACATCCTCAAAGGTATTTAGGTACCTACATTCTTTTGAAATCAATGGGAGTTAGGCCCCTAAATACCTTTGATCTGGCCCAGAGAGACAAGATATTGGCTATGGCTACACTGCCCTGTAGAGTACCAGACCTGTTGTGCTGAAACGCTCCTACATAAATGCTGCAGGTGCAAACTAAAAAGGTGCCAATGTTGCATTGATGTACTCCTGCAGTGGAGAGTCTATGAGACATTGGAGAAGTTCTGATTATATCCGGAGGAGGGCAATGATGTTCCAACACATTAATCAGGTCAATGCAATATAATCTCTTTTTCTTTCTTTCTCTCTCTCAATCCTATCTCATCCATGTCTATAGTATCTAAACACCATTATTACATGTGCTTACATTAATCATTAATATGAACTAGAAACATTTTGTTTGCATATGCCACATTCTCCACACAGGGGAGCTCCAGAGCAATACTTGGTTGTGCTGTTCTATTCACACCCCCATTGTCTGAACTGTAGGGGGAATGTAGAAAAATCCAGGCCACCCAAATCCAGTGCCTGGACCCCCCTGCATTGCCCTTCCTTTCTCTCTCCTAGCATAATAAACTTCAAAAATATTGAAGATTGATTTTTCTCTAAATAGAGCCTATTACAATTGTTTCTAAAAGACATTTTATCTAAATCTGTTAACCATATTAAGCTTTCTTTCTGCAGGACATTAATGTGAGCTCTGGCACATGTATTTATTTATTTATTTGTTTATTTTTTATCATGGGAGCATCTAGGAACCTCAGCCAGGGGCTCCTTTGTGTTTGGTGCTGTACAAACATAGAGTATTACAGTCATGCTATAGTTCAATGAGTTTCCAAAGGTGTACATTAGAATCTCAATGACTCATGTTAGTCTTAGGAAGAGCTATTGTGAATAACTGAATTTTGTAAAGGTCCTGACTGTTCATGTTGACTAGTTTCTATTAAATGCTGAGCTTTCTGTTGACTAGTCCCATCGATTCCAATGGGACTACCTGTGAAGGAGTGCAGTGCTCAGAGTCAGTAAGAGTGGCTGAATAACTCAAAGTGAATACATGCAATAAAAACAATCAAGGATAATGCATCATAAACTGTACTTTGTTCATTCATTTTTGTCAACTGTTGTTTGGCATTAATTAGTTGATAACACTTCATAATACAGTTCTGCCCCATTTAGGCCCCAGCAATTAGCCAATAGCAACACCCACTTGCTATTAATAACTAACTTCTAGTTAATGATACTAATCTAGCATTTTCCCACAGGCAGAGCTTTTGCCCAGGCAAAAAAAAAAAAAAAAAAAAAAAAAAAATTAAACATATGATGACAAGTAAAAGCCAATAAAAGGAATAGCTTTTGTACTAGTAAATATACTGTAGTATATGCTGTATGCCTTCCCTATACGTACCTATATGTTTTTACAACACCTGGCAAAATGAGACTCTGATCTCAGCTGAAGCCATAAGGCATTATAAATAATCAATAATAGTAATAATGAAACCTACTACAGTGTCCTGCTATTACATCTCTGAAAGATGAAAAGAGATAGCAGAGACTAAGAATTATTTTTGTTGAATTTTCAGACTTAGAGCATCAATCCCTAGGTCCTGATATATTACAAGACTTAAAAAGTACAGTACAGAAATCAGAAATACAGTACATTGATTCAAGAGCCTTAGACATGCCAGCTAAACTCCTACCTTCCAAATCTAGCTCACATTCCTAGCTCTCTCCAAAACTTCGGAGAACATCTAATGCAAAAAATAATAACCAGACACAGGAAAAGAGCACGTTTCCAGCTCACTAAATACCCAGCAGAGGAGATTAGTGGTTTAAAGGGGTTCTGCTGGATGGTTGGTTTTTCATATATTTAGTCGTGTCTTATTATGACATTGGAAGTATTTGAACAGTGTAAAAAAAGCTATTTTTGTTGCCTTTTACTGATAAGGTGGCACCCCATACCCTGGCATGATGGTTGATTCTTCTTTCTACAACAAGATAAAAAGTGGCTACCGAATGGCAAAACCTGACCATGCTACCAGTGAAGTGTACGTATGTTCTTTCTTGTTTCTCCTGTGCCAAAGCCTACTTCTAGTTAACTTTGTTTTATTTTCAACTTCCAACGGATGAAACTGGTTTCTGTCTTATTTTCAGGTATGAGATCATGGTGAAATGTTGGAACAGCGAACCAGAGAAAAGACCTTCATTTTACCATTTGAGTGAAATCGTTGAGAATCTGTTGCCTGGCGAGTACAAGAAGGTTTGTTTTTTGGAATTTCTATTGCACTTTGTATCTTTGTTCCCCAGAGGAATTGAAATTCAGCGACTCAGATCATCTGTACAGTAAGCATTTCATTAAGCCATGTCAGTGAAATCCTTCAGATATGCTGTTGCAGCATATAAGAGACAATAAAGTAGGGGTGGCCAACCCATTAAACATAGAGAGCCAAAAGAGTGGAAGAAAAAATGCGAAGAGCCGCACCAGAATTTTTTTTTTTTTGAGCAATTTTGTTGAGGGAAAGAAAAAAAAAGGAAGAGCTCCCCACCAGCCTCCCAGAGTTGTTGAGCCAAAAAAAAAAGGACACTGCCCCTTTAAAAGACAAGGCTTTTTCAGTTGCCACACCAGATGGCTTCCCTGCTCCCGTGAGCACAGGGAGCCGAGGCCATTTCTAGGGGCACAGGGGCTGCTTCGCGCACTTTAAGGGTGTTGGTTACCCCTGCAGTAAAGCTATAAAATTAAGGCTGCTGCCAAGAATCATTTTACAATATTACATAAGGAACGACACTCTTCATTTCCTGTAGGCCTTCTATCATCTTAATCCTTCTGTTGACCACAGAGCTGCTCCTACAGCATAGGCCTTTTAAAGAAAATGCAAAATCCTAAGAAAGGCACCAATTCCTCCTTGTGTATAATCTCCACCAACCTCAATCAACCCTTCCTTCCCACGTTGAACCCTGATCCCCGGGTACTAATGACCCCTCATCACACACACTCCTATCACTCAGTCCTGCTTCCCATTCACCCATCATTTATTAGTGGGTTCTCCCACACATCGTCATTCCTTCTGCCCCCTCCCGCAGCCCTCACTCACTCTTGCCCCTCCATTCACTTCTGCTGCTCATCCCCACTGCTGTGCCTCCCTAAACGTGCTCCTCACTTCTTCACCCCACAACTACCCAGTCACTTCTCACTGATGGGCCTCTTATCTCACTACATTCATCCCTTATTGCTGGGACTCTACTGCCTAATATACAGAGAAGCATGGATGATGATGGCCAGCCCATCATTTCTGGGCCCCTGGAACTTCACTGATGTCTGAGTCCCTCTTCTTCCTCTCCACAGAGGTGGTAATTATTTCTGACCCTCCTCAGGACACACACACACTCCTTCCAGGCTCACCAATGGGGAATAAAGGAGGCAAGTGCCCCAGGGCTTGGTGATTTGAAAGGACCTGAGGCCCCTGGCTACCGCTGCCGCTACAGTGGCCAAGAGCCTGAGACCCTATGGAATGGCCACCAGAGTGCTGTGCATGCTGTTGGTAGCGCTAACGGCTGGGAGGGGGTTCAGCTGCGCGGAGGGTCAGTTGCCTTTGGCCCCACCCCTTCTGTCCAAGGCTCAGTGGAGCATGGAGCTGCCTTCCCTCCCCACGCTTGGCCCAGGGATCCATCGTGGCTGTCAGCTCCCCTGACTTCTTCCTGGATCATCATCTTTGGCTCCATTTGCAAACATCCACACTTCCTGGCCCCACCCACTGGAGTGCGAGAGGAGAGGAATTCATCCTCTCTCCAACAGGAGTATCTTTTCATTCCTTCCTTGGAGAAGGTGCCAGAACTGGTTAGTAAACTCAGGGGAAGGGTAGCTGCCAGGAGCAACGGGGAAGGGAAACCAATGGGGAATCTTCATTCTTGCTCCTCATTAGCTTAGAGTAGGGAGAGCAGGTGGAAGCAAAAACAGAAGGGAGAGAGATCATGCAGTCCCAGTACTCCCCACAGTTGAACACTTGCATGTTCACTTATCCCCAGCACTAATATAGTTTAACAGTCACGAGGTAACCAGGCTCATGGCGTACATGCACCACTGGATAGTTAAACTAGTAACTCCCTGTTTGGATCAGAGTTGCATCTGCAAGCTGCCATCACGTGCCTGCAAGTTATGCACATGGAGGGGCCTGAGCACTAATTTAAAATGAAACCCTTCCATATATGAAATATTGGTACCCTATCTGTAGGGTCAGGCTATAGGCACTGGTCCAGGGAAGGCTTGTAAATCTTCTTGAGTAAGTCTGCAAAGCTCCACTCAGGCCTGCTCAGAGTGCCATCCATTTTAGTTACGCAGCACAGCTATCTGCAGCAGGAAGCTGAGGCCTCCGCATACAGCATCAAATAGCATTTTTAAATGAATCTTTTCAGAGCTATGAAAGGATTCATCTGGACTTCCTGAAAAGTGACCACCCGGCTGTCACACGCATGAGAGTGGACTGTGACAACACCTACATCGGTGTCACCTACAAGAATGAAGACAAGTTAAAGGACAGGGAGAGTGGATTTGATGAGCAGCGATTGAGTGCTGACAGTGGCTACATCATTCCTCTGCCTGACATTGATCCCATCTCCGAAGATGAACTTGGCAAAAGGAACAGGCACAGGTAGTTGCTGCTTATAATACATTATGGACCTGCTGTCTGCATTCACACTTCTATAGCACTTTACTCTGCTCTAGATTCTGATTCCCTTTCTCTTCTTGAGTAGCACCTTACTCAAAAGCTAGCCCATTGACTTCAGTGGGACTACTTGTTGAGTTAGGTACTATTCATCATCAGTCAGGGGGTAGAGTGCAGCCCTCCGTGACTGGCCCCAATGATTTCAGTGGGGCAGCCCATGAAACTAGCTATTCATTATGGCCAGAAACCTGCCTACTCACGAGGCTGCCTCCATTCTTATACCACACTGCCATATAGAAAGGGGCTGGCAGGATATTACCCATGAGGCCCCTCACCTTTGGAATTCACTTTCCTGCTTGGTCCAGCAGCCAAAATTGACTGACCTTTGGGACACACTGTAAGACCCCATTTGTTTTTCCTAGAGTGAATGAGTTGAAACAGGTTTGAGATATGTGAGGGATCCATGGATCCATTTATTTTATTTCAGAACAACTGGGGTTAGGCTATTTCAGAGAGAGTTTATTTTTATTTTAAATTGGTGACAGAGCCTTTGGCTGGGATTTTTTTCAATGGACTGTTATCAATATAAATAGTTACATTAATAAAATGCTTAATGTGAATGAGGGTAGCTGAATCTAGCACTATGTAGCTAGCAATATTTCCAGCTACATTCTTATTATGCTACATGAATTATAAAGTTAAGATTCCAGGAGCCAAGTTTTTTGGATTTTTAGACTATGATCAAGAGATGCTGAAATGAGGTCACTCATGGCCGTAGGGCAGAAATTTCCAGGCCTGATCTAAGCACCTGCCATCTTTTTCTGTTGTACCATCTTTTCTTTAAGCATCTCATTCCCTCACTTTTCCAGACTTTTCTAGTTAGCCAGTTGCCACAGCAACATCTGATTTTGTTTGGTGGGGGCTGCTCTCAAGTCTAACATTTCACTCCTGAATACTGTATGGATGAGTTGTCAGGGGTCATTCCCAGAAAAGGGGGGGAGGAGCAACCCGCTCCCTTGAATTCCAAGATTATTCATTACCTCTGGTGACTTCTTCCTACCAGATGTCTAAGAAACAGGTGGTCAGAGATCACCCACGATAACCCAAGGTGCCAAAAGATAGGGCATACATCCATTTCCAGGTCAATAGGCCAACTACTAGAAATTTAAAGATCATGTTTATTTCACTGTGTATTACAGCTCCTAGTTACTTTGCCTCTTACAGTTCCCAGACATCCGAAGAAAGTGCCATTGAGACTGGTTCCAGCAGCTCTACCTTTATCAAGCGAGAGGATGAGACCATTGAGGACATTGACATGATGGACGACATTGGAATAGATTCCTCAGACCTGGTGGAAGACAGTTTCCTGTAATTCACAGGGAATAAATAGACATCTTTGAGCTATATCAAAAGAGAAACTCTCCATGCAGTCTTAAGGATTTTTTTACTCTGTAGAGAAAACCACTTTATTGCAATGCAAAGGATGCAAAGAAAGTAGAAATTTGTTCCCGGCACACAGAGATCATCCTGAATTTGAAAGAGTAAGACAGGCTGAAGCCAGCATTTCAGCATTGCATTTTGCAGTACTTCAGTAGCATCTCAGTGTTGTTTGCAGTTTGAATAGGTACAAGGACAGAGGCCATAAAACAGACCAGTTTTGTGTTTCAAGGGCATTCATGACTCCGATGGATAGAATTTCCACTATGGCAAAACATCATCATTGTAATTATGTAAATAACTGTCAGCTCAAGGATCTTTTGAGGTATGCATTGAATATACTCTGTGGACTTCTGAAGAGACCATTCCAGATTTCTGTTTGATTTCAGTTCTGCTGCTGAACTATCCATGTGTGAATGAAGTACGTGCAAAAACCACTTTTGAAATTTAAAGGTACCGGAACTACATAACATTTTAATTTTTACAGTTAATACAAATAAAAAGGAATAGTAATTTAAAAAACCATCTATAATAGGTGTTAGAAACCTAGTGAGTTTTTAACGATAGAAAATAGCTATTTTCATACTACTACTGTTTTCAATAACACTAACTATATAGTTTATAACTCATTGTTCTTCAGTAAAAGCACAGATTTTAAAAACTTATAAGTAGGATTTAGGATTCAAAATGTTTATATGAAACAATTGTTGTATTTGACTGTATACAATACGATAATTGCTCTGGTGAGCTAAAACTAGTTTCACGCGTAGAAAAGAACTTTGTATCTTCTAAAACGTGAAGAGTTAATTTGCCAGCATCAGATGAGTGGCTTTTTTACTAAGATGTTCTTAAATCAATCACCTTTTGATTTACTGAGGGTTTTTTTTTCAAATGTAGAGCTATTTTTAAACCTTTAAATAATGTACATCATGTTTCCGAAGTTATGATAAAACAGAGGTATGACTAATCAATAGTAACATTATTGTTAGTGTTTAAGTAATATTTTGCACATCTGTTCAAAAGGGAGCTTATTTGGGGGTCAAATGTGAAGAACTGATTTGATATATGAACTGTTCTGGAAGCAAACAAGGAAGCCTTGTTTCTTAGCCTGTGACTCCAGATTAAATATGCAGTCATCATTTTGCAACACATGTTCTTATCTTAGTTTTCAGGTTTCAGTTGCAGCAGAAGAAGCTGTCTGTATTATCTATATCAACCCTCTAAGACAGGTAATTGCTTTCAAGTGTATTGGTTATTCTGGTCTGAATCCTTTACTTAGGAAAGAGGGACTACAAAATGAAATCGGCTCTTGGGTCTGCAATATTTGTTTGTTGATATAACATGTACATAGAATATGCTATGATTACTGCTGTCATTGTGAAATGTGATGCTTTGGAAGTCTTACAGATAAGGTACATGCCAATTATGGGCCAAATCCTATTTGGTGCTTAGGTTTTAAACTCAGTAGGAGTTGTGTGCTCTGAGAACCTCACAGCAAGTGCTCAGTACCTGAGATGACACACTCAACACAAATGAGATCTAAACTCAAGCTTGCATGGGATGTTTTTTCCTACTACATGTGGAATTGGACAACCAGTGAGTGACTAAACAGAACAAAGTGACTGGATTCTGAATAACAACTAAAACTAAACTTGAAGGACCAGTTGTTAGGCCCTTAGAAATACTGTGCACTGCCTCTTGACTTCACTTACTGTGGTGAGCAGAGGAGAGCAAAATAGGTCTCAAATGTAGTACTGCCATTGTTACAGATAAATCAGTACGGGTATGAATTTCAAAGTGTCAGATGGCTCAGGCCACATGCAAAAGTATGCATGCATGCAACTGTGGGTGCCAATGAGGCATTTGCAAACAAAAGCCAGACATATTCAAATTGGAAGTAAGGCACAATGTTTTTTTTTTAATCAAAGAGGGTGATTAACCACTGGAAAAAACTACCAACGGAAGTGGTGGATTCTCAAGGTCTTGATGTCTTCAGATCAAGACTGGATGCCTTTCTGGAAAATAAGCTTGTGGTAATCTCAAACTATGCTTTAGTCAAACACAAGTTATTGGGTTCACTACTGGATGAAATTTAAGAGCCTGACACATACAGGAGGTCAAACTAGGGTACGTCTAGACTGCAGCTCTTTTCCAGGATACCAGAGGTATCCCAGAAAAGCTATGCCGCATCTAAGGAATGCATCCGCTTTTTCTGAAAAATATCTGAAAAAGCGGACACATTCTTTTGCCATCCCTGTAAACCTTGTTTCACGAGGAATAAGGGATGGCTCAAAAAAGAAGGGTTTTCCAAAATTTGGCGCTGTGTAGACGTGCCAAATTTCAGAAAAGCCTCTTTTAAAAGAAAAGTGGAAAAAGATATGCATATTGTGATTCGTAATGTGTATATCTTTTACTGACTTTTCTTTTCAGTGTAGACATAGCCCTAGATGACCTAATTTTGCTTTCTGGCTTTGAACTCTATGAATCTATGAAAAAATGGCCTATTAGATAGCTGAAGGGCCATTTTCATTTCTTATTTTATGCCACAGCTCAAACTTCTGGGTTTGCTGTGTCAGAAGTGAAAGCTTAAAAAAATGCTTGAGTTCCTAACTGCTTGAGCATTTTTTATTACAAATTAAGCACTGACCAACCAAGACCACAAATTACATAAATTATATGTACAGTCACATAACTTCATGTTTATGGTAGGCAAACAGTTTTGCATAGGGCTCATATTTCATCATGTTTGAAAATCAGGCCGTGTAGCTTAGTGTTATCAAAAGACAGGTCATGTAACATTCTTATACTGCCCCCCACCCTCCTCTTGTTGGTTTTATTCTGAATCTCACTACACATTTTGGGACTGGACCTATGCTTTAGATTGGCACTCAAACATTTCCTGTCTCGCCATTCCCTTATCAATCATAAACCCCCAGCCCTGCAATGAGTTGCATGCAGATGGAAGCTTGTGCAGAACCCCATTGAAGACCGTGGGGTTCACTGCAAGGTGAAGGGGTCTGTCCAAGCACAGTTCATTGCAGGACTGGGGCCAGGGATATTAGCCTGGAAAAATTATTTGGATTTGAGTAGAAAGCAGAGTTAAGATTTTTTTTGTTTGTTTGTTTGACACTTTTAGCATTGCAGATTTTTTTTCTTTTATGGCTTAATTTTGAGAAGCCACCGGAAGAGAAATTCCCAGTTCCTTCTGTATAATGACAATCAAAACCTTCCTGTGAAACACAGCTTCCTATTTTGAATGGCCAATCAAATCCCTTAAAATTTGGGCTGTCTCTTGTACAAAATGGTCCTATTATATGATGAAGGACGTAAGATATAATGATGTTATACATCAATATGTATATATGTATTTTTATATAGACTTCTAGGCTTTGTCTACACTGCAAGTTTTTGCGGCAGAAAATACGTTGCGATGTCATTAGCATATTTTCTACGGATTCCTTTTGCGCAAGGGATTTTTGTGCAAAAAGAAGCAATGTAGCCGCTTCCGTTTTGCGCAAAAAAACCCCCCTTTTGCACAAGATCCGTATGCCTCTCCCAAAGTGTAGACATAGCCCTAGAATACTGCCAAAACAATTATGACAGCTGTATCACTGCCTTTGTTTATATTTTTTTAACTGTGATATAATCCACAGGCACGTTAACTGTTGCACTTTTGAATGTCCAAAAATTATATTTTAGAATAATAAAAAAAAAGTGTTTCCAAAATGGTGGCATTGTGAAGTGTTTGAAGAAGGGCTAACTGATATAAATGATGGGAAGTACAACATGTATTACATATGCCCCGTTCATATTTTGTCATAAACCTGTACATTAAGATCTCTATATTTCAATAAATGATATATAATTTAAGGCTATTTAGGGGTCTATACTCATTTAAAGATGATCACTTGATAATGAATAAAACTTGCTCAGATTGTCAATGACATTTACTTTCCTCGTGCCTCTGCCCCCTGCTCTACCCCTGCGTCTGCAAATTTAAGACCATACTTAAATAAATCAATTTTAAATAAACTTCAAACACTGATAACCATTATGATTTGATTGTTGATAAATCTATATGTACCATAGACTTTTACTTCAGTAATTACTAAATCGCATCACTTAAGTTCTGAAAAATATATTCAGATCAGGTGTGTGAGTTGTGGCACTCTCTTCAGTTTGGTGTTTAAATAAATGTGTCAAAGATATGCAATGATATTCCATGTTGTGGAATATAAGCGTGCTCCCTGTCTGATTAGTATGTGGTCATTCATATTTATTTATTACAGCTTTAACCTGTTATGATAAGTCCTACTTTGCTATATCATTGACTTAATAATTCCACTCTACAGCATGTGGTTACCATAGGGGTGGCCTATGGCTAACTATAACCCAGATTTATCAAAATGTGGAGCCCCAAATATTTTGTCTCCCAGGGCCGGCCCACAACATTTTGGCACCTGAGATGGGGAGCTCAAATGACATCCCCATACCTCCTCACTTGGGCCAAAACTTTGAAAGGTCTCAATTTTGCCTTCTTCCTGTTCTGCTCCTCTCATGGCACTCCACCATCTCTGTGCATCTAGAGCAGAGAGAATACATATGCACCAGCAGCAGACACAATTTTCTATACTCTGGGTCCTAGTGGCACCTCCCCCACAGTCTGGCACCTGAGGCGGCCGCCTTAATTCGCCTCATGGTAAGGCCAGCCCTGTTGTCTCCCAGTTATTCCCCATCAACAGACATTCCTTCTTTTTCCTTGTTGTAGGTTATTGCTCCCCAGCACACACAGATGCCTTGATTTTTCTTTCACCACAGTCTCTTTGACTTTCTTTTCACCTAGACAAACTTGAACTATCCAGCCCTGGCCACCCAGTGACTGTTCTAACAGGTCTACCCAGGACTCACCTCATTGCTCTCTTCTCTGTCTAGTCCAGGGACTGGCAACATCCAGCACACAACAGGGAGCCCGTGCTGGTGATCCAGCATCACGCCTCTCGCAAGACTGGCTTCCTGAGGGGGGGAGGGGGAACCTGTTCATTGCTCGTGCCCTGCAGATGTAAGACTGAGTTCAGGGGTGGGAGGGGAAGAGTTAGGCACATTTGCGTGCTGCTGCCACAGGGTGGGTAACACGGCGTTAAGTGTGCATCGTCTCCACTTGCAAAAGCGGAAATGACGTACATCAGCTGAGCCAAGCCCAGGGCAGGAGACCAACTGGGGCACGTAGTGGAGAGGACTCCTGCCCACCTCTTGGCAGAGCGGTGTGGCCCAGAGCAGGAGGGTTAAATCTTGGTATGCCACTTCAGAAAGGTTGCCGACCCCTGGTCTAGTCAGTGCCCAAATAAATACCTGTCAATGTAGCTTTTTCGGCTGTCAGGCTTTGCTCACCCTTGCCACTGGTTTTCTGACATCATCTTCCTGTTCAGTCTGCTGCAGGCCAGTTCAAGCTCCTTCGTTCCTCCTGAAAGCAGCCTGAAAACTGTTCAGAACACTTGTATAACAAAGACACTACTGTGTAAGGAGGACGGCCAACCTGCTCATCCACACACCCTGGTCACAACAAAATGTGACAACAACTTTTCAAAGAGCTCCTGCAAAGGAAGCAGGAACTTGTGCAGAGCAGTGTTCCAGGTGAATGCAATCTACCCATGAGGCCCTGCAAGAGCAATATGCTCAACTTCAACTTTAAATATTTGAACATTCAAATTGTACCCAATTCAAACCTGCCTGGATACTGTCTACATATCTGGATCGTTCCTCATATAGAATTACATATCTGATTTGTATTTAAAAAAGTCCCATACAGAGTAGTACATTATTAAAGGCTCATTGTGCTTCTAAGGAGGCCAAAATGATTTGGTCTTTGAAACATGCCTTTTAGCACTGTGCAAATGCCCTCTATGATCACTTTGATATAAGGTTGGAACCTACAACACTTGAATGGGAAAGTCAAGCCCTCCTCTACCTATGTCTGATTTTCCTCTTAAATCATAGGAGAGGGATTTTGGCCACATTTAAAGGTATTTAGATGCCTAGAAATACAGATAGGCACCTCTTGGGATTTTTGAAAACACACAAGTGCCTAAGTCCCATTGATTCTAAAGGTAGTTAGGAACCTGGACACTTTTTAAAAAGCTATTTGGGGCTATATGCATCCTTAGGACCTGAATAGTTTTTAAAAAAAATCTGGCCCTAGGTGACTGAGAACTAGCCCTGCTGGGATACAGGAGGAAATCTTTTTTCCGTAAGGAAGCGAGATGGCAGGCATAGCAGTGTGCTGGGAGACTCTTGTGACAGGGGGAAGGCAGTATAGAGAAACTTGCAGAAGGAAAGAAGCTTGCCGAGATGGCTCCTGAGTAACCAGCTGTTATCCTGTGGAGATGGAGCCAGGGAATTAACCAGCTTGCTGAGTAGGGTTGCCAGGTGTCCGGTTTTGAACTGGACAGTCTGGTATTTGAGCTTTCTGTCCAGAAAACAAATTGAGAAAGTACTGGATACATACATGTCCAGTATTTTCTAATTAAGTATGTTTTATTATTATCATGAGTACCATCAGTACGTAGTTGTGTACTGCCTACCTGGTAGACATGCTTACACTGAATGAGTGTGTCTACCAGCCAGGCAGTACACAACTACACAGTAGAGAGGAGAGGG